AAATACTATATGGTTTCACCCATATGTGGAACCTAAAAACAAAACAAACAAAATAGCAATCGTCTCATAGACACTGAGAAGTGACTGGTAGTTACCATGGGGAAGGCGTTGGGGTGTGTGGGTGAAATAGGTGACGGGGATAAAAATAAAAAAGAAATGAAGAATGCCTTTGGTGGGCTTATTAGTAGATGACACAGATAAGGAAAGAACCTGTGAGCATGAGGGTGTCTCAACAGAAATCTTCAAAACTGAAAAAGAGAGAACAAAGACTAAAAAAAGAAAGAATAGCCAAGGATTGTGAGACAACTACAAAATGTGTAATGTTTATATGATGGGAATTTCAGAAGGAAAAGAAAAAGTAAAAGGAACTGAAAAAATCTTGAAAACAATAATGACTGAGAATTTTCCTAAATTAATGACAGACACCAAACCACAGATCCAAAAACCTCAGAGAACACCAAGCATGAAAATTGTCAAAACAGCCACACCTAGGCATTTCATTTTGAAACTACAGAAAATCAAAGAGAAAGAAAAAAATCCTGAAAGTTGAAGGGAAAAAAAAAACCACTTTACCTATAAAGGAACAAAGATAAGAATGACATCCAACTTCTCCTCAAAATTATGCAAGCAAGAAGAAAGTGGAGTGAAATATATAAAATGTTGAGAGAAAAAAACCTCACCAACCTACAATTCTGAACCCTGTGAAATTATCATTAAAAAGTGAAGGAAAAATAAACATTTTCTCACCCCATAAAAACTGAGGGACTTTGTTGCCAGTAGCTCTGACTTGCAAGAAATGTTAAAAGATCTTTAGAGAGAAGGAAAATGATAAAGATCAGGAACTCAGATCTATATAAAGTAAGGAAGAGCATTAAAGAAAGAATAAGTGTGATGAAATAAAACTTTTATTTTTCTTATTCTTAATTGATCTAACAGCAGTCTATGCAAAATAATAATAGCAAGAATGTATTTGATTATGTATATATCACATGTATCATAATGAATGATGCCAATGTTACAAGGGACAAAAGGAATTAGATTATTTTGTTATTATAAGGTACTCACACTATCCGTGAAATGGTACAGTGTTATTTGAAGTAGATTTGGATTGTTTGTAAATGTATAATGCAAACTCTAGGGCAACTGCTAAAAAAAAGTTTTAAGGAATATAAGTCTTATGCTAAAAAAGAAGACAAAGAAATCAGAAAATGCTTAATTAAAACAACAGAAGGCAGAAAAAGAGTGAAGACAAAAATGGGAATAAAAAACAAGAGCAATGAACAGAAAACAGTAATGAATATGGTAGTACTAATCCAACTGTAACAAGAATCACTTTGACGTCAATGGTCTCACGCATAATTAAAAGACAAACCAAAAAACATGGCCCAGTTACATGTTGTCTACAAGAAATCCATCTTAAAGGTAAAGACATGTAGATTAAAAGTAAATGAATGGAGAAAAGTATAACATGTTAACTCTAACCAAAATAAATATGAGTAGCTATCTTAATTTCAGACAGAGAAGATTTCAAAGTAAGGAAGTTATCAGGAATACAGGCCATTACATAATAATAAAGGAGTTAATTCTGCAAGAAGACATAATAATGCTTAACATGTATTTGCCTAACTAACAGTAGAGCATAAAAATGCACGAGGCAAAAACTGATAGAACTACAAGGAGAGTTAGATAAAATCCACTATCATATTTGAATATTTCAACACCCCTCTATCAGAAATTACTCTCCAGTGGGCAGAAAATCATTAAAGACATAGCTGAACTCAACAATTTCCTCAATCAACTGGATATAATTGACATCTACAGGCTACTTCATCCAACATCAGCAGAATATACATTCTTCTCAAGCTCACATGGAACATACACCAAGACAGACCACATTCTGGGCCATAAAACACACCTTAACAAATATAAAAGAATAGAAACCATATAATTTCTGTGTCAGACCACAATGAAATTAAACAAGAAATCAATAGCAGAAAGATAACTGGAAATTTTCAAAATACATACCGATTAAACAACAAACTTCTAAATAACACCAAGGTCAAAGAAAATATCAAGAGAAATTTTTTAGTATTTTTAACTAAGTGAAAATGAGAAACACAACTTATCAAGATTGTGGGGCATAGCAAAATCAGTGCTGAGAGGGAAATTTAAAGCATTGAATGCATTTATCAGAAAAGAAGATCTATAATCAATAGTATAATAGCTGTTGACCTGTAATCATACCACAAAACTACCTTTGAATTGAGACATTTCAAGGCAAACAAAATGATGGGTGATAAAAGAGATGCAAGTAGAATTCTGCATATAAAAAGATAAAATGCTAATATACATGAAAATGTAGATGAAAATAGATGAATTCCCCAAAAATATAACTTACCAAACCAAAGGCATGCAGGTGTCTGCTGGGTCTATCGAGCGGTTGCCGACTGAAGATCGCTCAGTCCTCCACTGAAGCCTGGTCTGCAGTTCCCATTGCTTAGGCCACTGAATGGGTAGGACAACCCTTGAGTGGTCTTGGATGTTTTTCCCCAGACTCTTAAGCAGAAAATGGAAATAAGGCTGATGGAAAATAAACTGTCTCTTAAAAAATAAATTCATTAAATAAAATATTCTTGTGACTACTTAACATTTAACCAAAAAAAAAAAAAGATTGTTTCAGAATATTTAAGGTGCATAAGGAGAAAGAGGAGCCCACAAAGGGAACTGAGGGAAGCAGAGAACAGAGCAGTAGGTGTCCAGTTGAGGAAGCCAAGGGGACTTGCAAGTTTTCAAGAAGGAAAGTCAAGGGCTGTTGGTGGTCAAGTAAAATGAACTCTAAATGTCCTCTGGATTTGGCAATTATGAAGCTCATGAGCAATAGAATCCAGATCCCTTTCAGTGGAATGATAAGGGAGAAAGCCAGAGGGACAGGGCAGCGAGTGGCAAGTGATGCAGAGGGTCAGCAAGGACCTAGGGGAAATATCTGTGTGAATGGGTGAGTGAGAGACTGCTACTCTTCTGGAGGTGAGCCTGGATGCAGATGCTGCCAAGTTTCCTGGCCTGGTGGCTTGAAGCAGAGACACCTGGGGCAGTGGCCTTTGCTGTCGTGGTGAAGAAATGCTGCCCCTGCTGGAAGTAAGGAGGGAATGGTATGGTGTGACACAGTCAAGTGCTTTGGGGAATGGGAGAAGGCCTAAAAGGACTGCTTTTAAGACCTACCTAAAACTGGAGAAAGTGAGCTTTTAGCATCACCATATCATGTACACACCCATCATGGTAGACTGTAACTGAAAAGAAAGGACCACAGATTCTGTGCATCTCCTTCTATCAAGAGGTGAAATCTCTTTCCTCATTCTTTAAATCTGGGCCAGTCTTATGACTGGCTCTGACCAACAGAATGTGGGGTAAGTGACATTGTGCAATTTCTGAGCCTAGACTTCAAGCGGCCTTGCAGTTCCGCTCTAGTGCTGGGAACCCTTCTGCCACCATGAGGACAAGCATGAGTTAGAAACCCTGTATAGAGAGCGGCCACAGCCATCCCACCAGGTCCAACTTCAACACCCAATGCATGAGCGAGGCCATCCTAGACCATTCGGCACCAGCCATGGCAGTACAGATGGATTACAGAATTGTAAGAAATAATAGATATTTATGGCTTTAATCCACTAGGTTTTGGCATGGTTCGTTACACCATAAATGTTCATTGATATACCATTCATTCGTTATTATTCAGACAATTTTTAAAGTCTGTTCATAACTGACTGGTTATTTCTGGTCATTACCCTTTTGTCTGAGTTTTCATCTACTCCTTGATCCTTCTAGAAAGTAAACTCAAGGAAAAATTTCTCTAAGTTCATGTTTCCTATACTGAAAAAAGGAAAACTGCAAGCACCATCGTGTGTGTGTGTGTGTGTGTGTGTGTGTGTGTGTGTGTGTGTGTGTGTGTGTGTGTTGCTAGGAAGTTCAGGGCCAAATGTAACATTTCAAGAAGTGTCCTGATAAAATTTCCAAGTTCCTAATAAATTTATCGTATTCTATCATATTCTATCTCCCTTTTAACCTTTATTTTCATTACACTGTATTGTATACACACATCTATGGTAGCCACTTGGGATCCTTTTTGAAAATAGGCATAATTAAAATTATGAATATTCTCCTACCTGAACTCAAACTTTTGGCCCCTTGCCTTATCTTCATTCTTATCATAAACATTTGTCACTCCAGAAATGTGACTGACAAAGCTCTCCTTCAGGGCCTGTCTCTCATCAGAGCCAGATGGCAGCTAAGAGAAGGCAAATGCTGACAGCGTGGGTGAGTTACTCTGGGGTAGTTTGGGGTAGAGGCTGACTTACCTGCAGAGTTATGTCCATTACCAGACCAGTCTCTCCCTACAGTGGCTAACAGGTGGGCAATGGAGTAGGGAAGCCTGTGTTCACATGCTTGGTCTGACATTTGCCAACTCACTTCACTTAATTGCCCCACCTATTCTAAGAGGATAGTCATAGTACATGTGCCCGACACAGAGTAAACACTCAAAAACTGTTGGCTTTTTTCACTATTTAGCATTGTTATGTTTTCCTCCTTCCTATTCCTGGCCCATTGACCCCCATACCACCCAGGGATCCTGGCCCCAAAGCGCTCGTTTCTACCATGGACATGTGTGGGACCCTTGCTGTCCTGCTCTGGCCACTTCTTCTCTACTGTTGACAGCATTCTGGACTGCCTGGCTGGCCATGTCATCCACACAATGGGGGGGCTCCACACTTCAGCAGTGGAAGGAGCATAAACACGACACTGTGCCCTGAGAGTGGCCATGACAGGAAAGGCCAGGACCCCTGGAGCCTCATGTAGGAAGAGGTGAACAGGGAGGGCTTTGAGAGACACCCCATTGTTTGCAAAGTGGACAGGCTGCTGGGACTTCTCCAAAGGATGGGCAGGGGACAGGCATCTAAGTCCTGGACAAGGCGTCAGAGCTGAGCCACACGTAACAGATCCCCAGGTAAATCAGAAAAATAGCAAGCATTTATTATGTGGTGTCTATAGAAACACCAAGCTGTGCAGTATTCAGAGAAGCATTTGCTTTCTTTCTGCCCTTATGGTGGGAACAGGATGTTTTCAGAAAAAAATGACCAACAACAGGCATTATCTAATGCTAAGTGAATAACAGAGAGAATGCATTACAAGGGTTTAAGATAGGGTTGGAAAAGCCAGAAGAGGTTTTCTGTAGCAGATGAGCTGAGCCTGAATGTTCAGGATGATGTGGGAAGAAAGGCCTGCAGAAAAGGCCACAGGCATGTCTGGAGAGCAGCAGGCAGTCCAGCCAACTGGAGCAGACGTTGTCTTGGAGAGGCCTGGGTGGGAAAGTTTGAGTTACTCTGCAGGCAATGTGGAGCCACTGAATATTTTTAAGTAGAGGAATCTAATCATGTAAGTCAAGTTTTCCTAAGAGTTTTCACAAAAAGGAAGCTGAAAGAAACTTCTAAGAATACAAAGCTCTGGGCCCAACTTCCTAACACTTGAAGCACTGCTTTCTCTCTGTTATCACTATCAACCCTCTTTCCACACTGTCCACACTGCCTCTCTCTAATGGTTTATATCCATTCAAGTGTCTTCTTGCTGCAAGTGACTGAAACCAGTCTGACCATCTAGGGCAGGAAAGAAGGAAAGGAGGTAATCAGCCGGGGTGAAGAGGTAAGGAGTGGGTCTGGCTCTCAGCACTCAACCTGCTCATCAGGTCTGGTTCTCTTAACTGCACACTTCCACCCCCTACTGTTTAGCTTCATTCTCAGTTTTATGTGGTAGCTCAAGCAGCAGTGTGCTCTTCTGACATGGTGACCCATCCTCCCAGGTCAGTCTTGAAGGAAAGGACTAGACTTTTTTCTACTAATTCCAGCAAATACCCTAACCAGCTTAGGGGACTGGATTAGCTTAGGGGACCCATCCGTCCTGGAGACAGTGTGGCCAAAGGGATGTGTTGTCATGGACAACCAGGCCTGTCATGGGCAGAGTACTTATGTTCTGGAAAGTAAGTCAGGACTGAAATTTTTATTTGTACAAGTTGAGAGTGCATAGCTCTAAATAACCTCTACCCCCTCCTCCTCATCCTTCCCACACCCCTGAAGCTCTTGGAACTATATGCCACATGGGATCCCAGATGGCCATGGAGAGTACTCAGGGCACAGTGCTAGACTGGCAGGCATACAGTTGGCCTCTGTGCTCTCTCCGCACACCAGCGGCCTCCCTGCACTCCGTGACTCAGGAGCTAGGGGACGTGGCCAAGGGCCCCAGATCATGGTGTTCTGGGCTGGGTGCCCACTTCACTGTTTTCCCTCCATCTTTATGTGATGATTGGCGGAGATCCAGGCAGCCATGGCTATACTATTGCCCTGGGAACCCCACACTCTGGTGGTCAACAAACTGGCCAACACCAACTACAAGGCTGAGTATGGCAGTGACTGGTTCACCCTCTGGGTGAACCGGCTCCTCCGAGCTGCCTTTGCTGACCTGTGTGGCCCTTGTGGACATTTGAAAAATGACCTCCAGTCTGGCTCTGCCCGACAGCATCCACCCAGAGTGGTTCGTCATCCACAATGAAGTGGACTTCCTCCTCTCTTTTGTCTGCCCTACTGGAGCGCTTCTGCAGTTCCTGGGCCATGGGGATGAAGGGCCTGGGGACTGGGACATGGTTTGAAGAGGACCACGGCCATAATAGGACTTCTGGGGTAAGAGCAGGTACCATCAACTTCTCTTGCCTGGAAGACTGCAATACCTTCCTCACTAGTCCAGCTGATTCTATTCTTGCCTCATGTCAAACCACTTCTCCCCTCAGAACAAGAATGATTATTTTAAAACATAAATGAAACCATATCATTAGCCTGCTCAAAAGACAAACGCTTCTTCATATAAATCCAAACCCCTTACCGTGGTCCACCTGCATGATGGCTGTGGGGGCCCGGCCTACGGCCGAGGCTGAGCCCCACTCCAGCTGGACAATGCCCTAAAGATGGCGCCTGCTTCCCTGTTGGGGATTGGCCCAGCAGACTTCCGTACCCGTGCACAGCTCGTGCTGCCCGCTTAGAGTGGCGCGTGACACCTATCCGCTTAAAGGTCACGCATGATACTGTCCCGGATTGTTTGGGTGACTGAATATAAGGGAGCCCACCAGGAGGGAAAAAGAGCTTCCCGACAACTGCTGTAACCACCGTGAGAGATTAGACAATAAAGCCTAGAGAAGAATCAAGACCTTGGGCATGTTGCTTCGGTCCCTGAAGGGTCGCAACAATGGCCTTGCCTAACTGCAGCCTCATTTGCTTCCACTCCTCCTGGCACTCTGCACTACAAACCCATAGAATTCTTGCTGCTCAAGCAGGTCAAGCTTTCCCCCTTACCCTCAGGACGTTTACACCTGCTGTTGCTGTGCCTGGAAGTCACCGCCCCACCGTGCCCCAGATCCTCTCTGGCCAGCTTTCTTCTCCTGCAGTTCTCTGATCACCCTAAATAAAGCTCATCCTCCCATCCCAGGCCTCTTTCCCCTTCTTGACTCCCCACCTTTTTAAATCACTAACCAAAACCTGTAATTACTTGATCTATCTCTATTATTATTGCTCTTGTTTTCTTTAAGGGGCAGGGAGTTTATCTAGCATGCTCACTGCTGTATCCCCATGACCTAGGCAGTGCTTGAGATACTGCAGGTGGTAAATAAATATTCACTGGATGAACAAATGAATGAAAGTCAAGATGACTAAGGTATTACTTCCATGCCCTGCACCTTCTTTCAGCAACCTGTGTCCTATGACAAAAGTGGCCCCTTGCTGTAGCTGCTGATTGTCACCTTCACATGATTAGCACTACTAATGCTTCACATTTACATTAGGGTGGTATTTTCAAAGCAGTTGCCTGTTTTCATTTTGGACAAACCTCCCAAGAACATTCTTCCATTTTACTAGAGAAACCGCAAAAGATGGCACACGACTGAGCCCATCCTGGGTCCCAGTTTGGTTGTGGTAACAGTGACACTGGTGGTGGCAGAGGCAAGAGCACTCTGTCCTTGCTGGAAAACCGGCCTCCGGAAAAGGCTGGAAACGGCCGCCCAACTCCTCTGACTCGGCTGATTGGGGCCTGATCGTCAGTTCCTCGGCTGAGGGGCTTCCCTGACAGAAGTCCAGTCCCTCTTAGGGCTTGTAGGTGCACCGTGGGCTCCTTGTCTCCAACCATGGTATCCCGGCGGCTGTTCCCCGGACACTGTCTCTGGCTGCAAGACTTTTCTGACCACCCGAAAGGGGCCTCCGTGACCAGGCACGACCACGTCGGCCGTGCCAAGGACTCTCTCCCGGCTTCGCTCCTGGGCCACAGGGTCTTCGCTCAGCACCTGCCACGAGTCTTCGTCTCCATCGCGTTCAAACACATCGCCCACCACCACCACGGTGCCCAAGGCTGTGCCCGCCACCACCACGCTCACGTCGCGCTGGCCCCCATGGCCCGGCGTGGCCCACACCTCGAGCCCTGGCCCTAGCCGCAGGGGCCGCTCCTCACTTAGCCCGTGGGGGAGGTAGCGGCCCCCGGGAAGACAGAAGTCGTGCGACACCAGCAGAGCCGCCCCGGGAAACAGCCCCAGGTTCCCGATGTGATCCGAGTGTCCGTGGGTCCCCACCACTAGAGTCACGTCCCCGGGGTCCACACCCTGCCCTGCCAGCGCCCCCAAGAGCGCCTCCCGAGCCCAGGGGCCCCCGGTGTCCACGAGGATAGGTCCACGGGCCGCCTCCTCCAGGGCAGTCTTCGCCTCGCCCCCCACGGACAAGGGTGCTCGGTGGCTGGAGGCTGGGGCCCCTAATTGGGGCAGAATAAGGGTCACAGAGCCGTCGGCGTACACTGCGCCTGCGACCCCGTCGGGCTCTGCGTAGCCCCGCAGCAGAACCACCACGGAGTAGGGATCGCCCGTCACCAGCAGAGGGGGCTCGCCGGGCAGCGCTTCAGTCCGCACCTGACTATTCATGGCCCGAGGGCGTCAGGTTCGGGAAAGGAAGCGGGGTTCTGGGGGATGTCCAGTCCCTTCGGTTTCCCACACGCGCCCGGCCTCCGCCAAGTGGCACTTTCCAAGTCTCAGTTATTTGCCACGCCTCCCTTATCCCCTTAAGGTGGTATCGCCCTCAACCCCTTTTCGAAGATGGTGTGGCTCAACCTTCAGTTGGCTTGAATCTGCCCGGCCCTCAAGCGTCCTTGGCTCCGCCCCGCTCCTCTCGCGTGGTCCTCACCCTCTAAAGGAAGTTTTTTACTTCATTCGCTCTCACCAGAGTTTTATCACTTCCCGTTTGTCTTGCTTCCGACGGTAGAAGTGACAGTGGGGTTGGGATTTTGCCCTCTGCGGGCTCCCGTAAACCCAAGTATGGCGGCCGAAGAGGAACCACACGTTGAATTTTAATTCGGGCTCACTCTCGGGCATGCGCAGACAGCGACTACACGGACCCAAGCCTAAGAGGGGCTCAGCCCAGTGAACCCTGCCAGGCTGCTTGGGCTGCAAAGCGACTAAGGCCATTAGCTTTTAACAGGGCGGCGGCCAAAGGTCCCCTTCTCTGATATATATATATATATATATATTTTTTTTTTTTAAATTTATTAGCGGTATAGAAAATTTGGCACCTGTGAAATTACATGGTGGACCCTCGGTGAAATTAATATGAAATAGAGCAAGTATCCTCACCTAAATCCCCATCCACTGTCCTCTTGTTCCCAGTTGGTTGGCATGTAGCCTCCAAGGCGCAGGTAGTATATATAGACTGTAAAGAATGTCCATTCTGACTTTCTTGTAAGGGTATAAAAACAGACCCCAGAGTTAGAGTGACTTTTCCAAAGCCTATAGCTCTTGTGCCATCGCTGACCTCTGAGACGTTTAAAAGGGAAGGCCTTCAATACTATCACCACTCACACCAGACAAGGGGCCAGATGTGTTGGGGCAGGGCTTCCATCTACTACTCCCACCTTGTTCCCTATACTCATGCCATGCTGCGCATCCAGGATCCTGGCTGAGATCAGATGGGAGAGAACAGCTACAAGCTCTGGGATGGGGTCACTCACACATGTGCACACACACCCTTAAAGCTGTGGGGCGAGGAAAGCTCAGACTTAAGAAGGTTCTTTTCCATGGTTCCTGCCCCTCCTGGGGGCTAAAGGGCAATGGTCAAAGATCCTCTGGGTCATGCTTGGGGTACCCTGCTATGTTGATTATCTCTTCCTCCCCCTCCTCCTCTTCTTCTTCTTCCTCTTCATTCTCCTGGTCTTGCTCCTCCTCTTTTGTCTTTTCTTGCTCCTCTGTGATCTTCTCCTTTCCATTCCAAGTTTCCTGTAGACATGCTAGGTTGGGTGAAAAGAAAATTTAGATATTGTCCTGGGGGTAGGAGACATTGTAGCCTGGCAGGAAAGGGGCCAGCTCACACTTACCAGTTTCAGCAGCTGGGAGCACATGACCTTCACAGAGAAAGTACTGTAGGGGCTGCTCCTGATGGTGGAAGTACCAGTCTCCTATGACATCTTCAAACTCCTCCAGCATTGTCTCACACTGATCAAGTGGAAGGGTCAGAAGGGTATCTGCTCTGCTGGGCTTTGGAAACCCTCCTCTCTGCATTTCCCTCCCTGACCCCACCCCTTTTTGGAGAGGGCCAGGAGGTTAAACTTGGCTCACTAGATGTCTGTCCTCATTCACACAACAAACATTTACAAGCACCTACTCTGCCAAGTAGGTTATTAAAGTCTGAGTCTCAACTGCTTGCCTGTAAAGTGGGAAATGGAGTTGATACCTACCATGTGAGGTTGTGAGGATAAAATGAGGCTGAGGCTAAAAAATGTGGCCCTGAATATGGCACATACTAGGTGCTCAGTAAGTGGAAATGGATCTCATCACCTCTGTTATTCTTGATATGCTCTTGGGCCCACTTCAATCAATGGCAGAGCCCTCACCATGTCCACTTTCCCGGTCAGCAGAGGACCTCTCTGGGATCTAGCTCTGCCCCTCTCAGGTTCCCTTCTCACCTCCCTGGGCAGTGCAGAATCCTATCCTACCTGCTTCTTGAGAAATGTGACCTCCACGCTGGGCTCGTCCCACAGCTCCAGAGGGATTCCCAGATCCACCTTCACCCCCTTCTGCACCAGGTCTTTCAGCGTTGCCATGGTCTGACTCTGACCCTGAGAGATGGGGATTTGGGATCAGCCTGGCCAGCTGCCGCACCTCTGCCCTCCTCTTTCCCCCAGAGCAGCATTGTCAACACGAGGGACTCACTAGGAATGAGCTGCATGAGGGTGTGGTGAAGGACTCTAGCTATAGGGAGGGAATACTCCAGATCTGGGGGGAGATAGGCCCCAGGAGAACACAAATCTTTGTTTCTGAGAAGTGGGATCCTGCCCTGGGGATGAGTCTGACCTTGGCGTATCTCAGTGAGCCCTTGCGCTCAGCATGAACACTGTAATCCAGGATCCGCTCACACAGATTCTCTAAGGCCTCTTCCAGCCTCATCTCTCTGTGGGAAGGGGGGAGACAAAGACTCCTTGGATACTGAAGGAGCTCCCACGGCTCCTTCAGGGGTTGGAAGCTAGAGGAGCACCAAGAAGGACTCACGAAATGCTGTAAGGGACATGTCTCTTCCTCTTGCCTGTGTCCAGCACCTGCCCCAGCTCCAGCACTTCTCGAGATCGGCCAGTGCGACTTAGCTCTTCCTGTAGCTCCAGGCTCAGCAGCTTACACACTGGATGTCCAAAGGGACATGAAAGACAAACAACATGCCAAAAACTTGTTCTGAGGATGAGCAAGGCAGCAGCACATGATAGCTACAAATGCAGACTCTGGAGCCAGACTGGTGGGTTGGAACCCCAACTCAGCCATTTTGCTGAGTGACAGTCCTGCTATACCTCTGTTTCTTGCCTTCTAAAAATAGAGATAATTATATAGACTCACTCACAGGGGTGTGGTGAGGATTAAATAAATCTATGTGCCTGGCACATAATGAGCACTGTATAAGCATTTTCTGTTAATCTGCAGTTATTTATTGAGCTCCTGTATGTGCAACAGTAATACAGAGAGCAATAAAACCCATAATCCCTATCCATGGGACATCGCCAGTGTGGCTGGGGACAGATTAAAAAATGGTAACAATATGGTGTGATGGACCCTACACTAAGGGTTGAGACCAAGAGACTTAATCTAATTAGAAAATGCAAAATTCATTCAACAGTCATTTATTGACTTCCTATTTGAATTCCTTAAGCATTAGCAGTACCTAAAATGTCCTAGGCAGGCACTATACCAGGACCTGGGATACAGAGGTACTCTCCTTCTCTCCAATGGCTTACACTATAGTAGAAAGTAACAGAAAAGGAAGAAGGCTTCCAAAGGAGGTGACATTTAAACTGGGTCTTGAGTAACCAAATACAGAAGGGAAAGGGTCATTCCAGGCAAAGGGAAAGACACGCAAAAGCACAGAGGTGTAAGGGAAGGCAGCTCAGTGACCCCTGAGAAGTTCAGTGTGGCCAAAGCACAGGCACTTTGGGGATAGGAGCTGGAGTATGGCAATGTAAGAAAGGTGGGGGCCTTACAACAGAGAGACTTATATGCTATGCCAAAAATGTTGGTTACTGTCTGATCACTGCAGGAGGCCTGCAGATGTGTTAACAGGACTGATGCTACTGGTCTGTGTTTAGAAAAACTGACGGGTGTCAGGGAGAAGAGAGGGGACACAAGTGAAAGGAGACAAGAGAGCAGGGCCAAGTCATTTACTGATATTGAAACGCAGTGTGGAGGGAGATAACAGCAAAAGAATCCAGGCTAGAAATTAAAGTCAAAAAAGGCAACAAGCTAGGGAAGCAGGGCAGTCAATGGCCCAGCTCTGAAGGGGCCCCTCCCACCCGGCCCGACATGTGGTGCAACCACATCAGATGCAGTTGGTTGGAAAGTCCGTATGTTACACACCGTTCTTGTGTGGCCTCCTCCTTCATTTATGAGCTTCAAGGGCTGACTTATCATCCTTCCCTCAGGAGATCATAGGGCCTGTAATTTGGGAGCATCTATGCCTGGGTGGAGCAGAGGATCTTCACAGGTATAAACCTCATGCCGCACTCCTGCTGGCTCCCCAGACTTAGTTGTAGTGGCATGGGACTGGGAGACACACACACACACACACACACACACACTGAAGATGGGGGAAACACACACACCCTGAAGATGCTCAATACACACACACACACACACACTGAAGATGGGGGAAACACACACACCCTGAAGATGCTCAATAGAGTGGGAGATCCTGGGCAGATAGTCTATGAACCAAAATTCCCACAAACTATTAGGACTCAGCCTAGCAAAAAAGGCAGGCTCCCTCTGGAAGTCTCCTGGGAATTGTGGTGCCATAGTTTTGGGGTCGCGCTATGTGTTCCCTCCCTTGACCCTGTTCGAATTCCGCCAGGCTCCACCAGAACGTCCCTTGGATCTTCAAGGACATCGAGTATATATGATCCACGGTCACACGGACGGACTCACATTCCATTTGGTCCGACAGGCGAAGGAGATGGGGCAAACTCCCTTTGGGAATGGGGGGCAACTCCCTTTAGATACCTTCGCATTTGCTGGGCAAGCGTTCTTTGTCATCGTCCTCCTCCTTCGCCGTCCCAGCCCGAGCGCCGTACACAGCCAGAATGAAAAGCAACATGCCCAACCGCACGGGTCCCATGACAAAGTGAAGTCCACAACCAACCACCCCTTGCTTTCAAACCAACTTCGGGAAGGCAGCGGGCCCTTTAAATTCTGAGGCAGTCGGCGGCAATTTTAATCCAGCCTGGCACGGAGGGCGCACGCGTAGTGAGGCCCGAAAGCGGGTGGGGCCTCTTCGCGCTTGAAGCTATCCCGCCACGGATTTGTGACGGGTCCTGAAGGTCCTGGCCGCTGGGTAGTGAAGGAATAAACTGAAGTAATTAAACGAGCAGTTGTGCTCCTTACACGCAGACACAGAAAAAGAATTTTTTTTCTTGTTTTAGGCCTGAAGCTTAGGGGATTTATTCCGGGTCGGGGACGGAAAACAGTGACTTGCTCTCTGTCCCTACCAGGACCCGCTGTCGGGAGGGGGCGGGGCCAACATGGCGCCCAGCGCCGGGTGAGCGGCGCTTCGGCGGCGGTGAGAGACTTTCCCTGCACTGGGCTGTCGGCTGGCGGGGCGGGTCTGAGTGATACCCGGGACTAGCGTCTTTGAAGGGCCCGTGTCGTGACTGGGAGGAGGACGATTGGTTGTGTGTCCGTGCTCTTGGGGGCTCTGGGATGTTGAGGGGATGAGGTGGGCTCTCTGCGTCTTTCGCGCTGGTCACATTGCGTGGGGACTTGGACCCGCTTCCCTGCTGGGGAAACCACCACACAGATCTAGCTCAAGTTAACCCTCTTCTGTGAAGCCTTCCCGCCAACTCCACTGATCTGAGGGGCCCCTGAGGCCATAGCGTGTTTTACGAACCTTTCCCGGCTGAGGGTACCGCAGGGTATTGCAGGATTAGTAGGAGTATTCCAAGGAACTGGACACGACCGCTTCTTGAATACCCGGCTCCAGGCACGGAGTATGTGTTAAGTACAGGTGTTCCCTGCAGATAGAGCTCATAAAAATGGGGGAATGACCTAGGATGGCTTGAGAACAAAATTCTCTTTCACCTCCATCTTCTCAGCCCTCCAGCCCGCTCCCACCTAAACCCTAGTCAGTCCCTAAACACTTTTGTTAGTCTTCCTAATGCCAGTTTCAAATGAGCCACATTTCTTTGGCTGCAAAGTAGATTCCAAGCTTGGGCATATATATTGTTCATCTTTATAATAGTGGTACTGGGTATTTATTGGGCATGTACATCACTAAGTCTTACAATTCATTCATTAATACAAGTATATATTGAGTGTCTCAGGCACCCATGTGGGGTACTGTAATACACTGGTGAACACAACTAAGATCTTTGTACAGTGTGGGAAGGGGAGGCGTACTGGTGATAAACAAGAAATGATACAATATATATTAGCAGGTATTAAATACCAAGGGAAAAAAAGCAGAGTCGTGGTGCAGTGTGATATTAATAGGTTGGCAGGAACAGGCGGCCAAGCTGACATCTGGGAAGAAACATTCCAGGCAGAAGTAACGGAACAAAGGCCATAAAGCAAGAGCATGCCTGTCAGGTTTGAACAGCAAGGACAATGGGGCTGGATCAAGATGGAAGGAGAAAGGAAAAGAGGTCAGAGATGTAGTGGGGAGAGGGCAAATCATGCAGGGCCTTCTAGAGATCTTGGATTTTACTCTGTGGCAAACAGGGAGTCATTACAAGATTTTGAGCCAAGAAATGACACAGTCTGATTTATATTTTGACAGAATCACTTTTGCTGTGTTGGGATTAGATAGAGGGAACAAGGGTGGAAGCAGGAAGACCTTCCCTGGAGGCTATTGAAGTCACCCAGGTAGATGATGACTTGGTCATGCACTGAGAATGGAGGAGTCAGGTTGGATCACCTGGTGGGTTTGATTTGAGGGCTCACATAAAGAATGAGTGCCTGGATGAATGGCGTTGTCCTGAAGATGAGGAAAGCTGAGACTGGAGCAGGTGGGGGAAATGCAGAGACAGTTTTAGAAGAGGTTTTGACATACAAATATGGAATTGCTCGGGCTTGGGGATATACATTTGGACATCATCAGCCTATAAACAATACTGAAAAGTGAGGATGGTTGAGGTCACTAAGGGAGTAAGTATAGCTAGAGAAGACAATCAAGGACTGAGCCAAGGACACCCTAACATCAGCAGATAAGAGGAGGAGAATTAGTAAAGGAAACCCAGGGGTGGCCAGTGAGGTGGGAGGAAAACCAAGGGGAGGTGGGGTGGCAGTGGTGTCAAAGTATTTTCAGAAGGGAGTGGTCAGCAATGCTATTTGCTGCTGAGAGGTCAAGTAAGATGAGAATGGAGAGTGGACCTTGGATTTGGCAATGTGGAGTCATTGGTGACCTTGAGTGGTTTCAGAGACCTAATGGGGTCCTAAATGGGATAGGTTCAAGGGAGGAGCAGAGTTAGAAACGGAGTTACAACAATTCTTAGGGGGTTTTGTTGCAAGGAGGAGCCAAGAAAAGTGCACAGCTTGTAGAAAAAGGGAAGTTTTTGTCACATGAATAGTGATGCAGGAAGAAAATATTTTTTTAAGTTTTCTAATTGCAAAATACACATAACATAAAACTTACCATCTTAACCATTTTTAAATGTACAGCTCGGTGACCTTAAGTACATACTACTGTGTGCAACCATCACCACCATCCATCTCTAAAACTCTTTTCATGTAAAACAAAGTGTAGCTATTAAATAGTAACTCCCATTCTCCCCTCCCACATCTCCAGGCAATCACCACCCTACTGTCCAATGCTGTGAATGTGGCTCCTCTAAAAATGTCACATAAGTATAATCCTATAGTCCTTGTCCTTCTGTGACTGGCTTATTCCACTCAGCATAGTGTCCTCAAGGCTCATCCATGTGGTAGCCGGTGTCAGAATCTTTCCTTTTTAAGGTGGAATAATATTCTAATGTATGGATAGATCAGTTTTAAGATGGGAGAAATAACTGCATTTTGTAGGCTGATGGAATGATCTAGTAGGGTGAGAAACTGACAGTGATGCAGGGAGATGGGAAAAATGCTGGAGTGATGCTTGAGTTGGTGAAGGACATGAATAGTTGCTGTACAGTTACAGGTGGGAAGGTAGGGTACAGGGACGGTGCTGCTAGAGAGGAAGGTGTGGTGGTGGGAGTCCAGAGGTCTCTTCTGACGGCTGAAAGTGAGGAAGGTTTCCCATCAGACAGGGAGACCCAGGGCTCTGAGGTATAGTGTGATAGTCTGTCAGCACCAGGGGGTCCACTTGAGGTTTGTGACCATCAGTTCAAAGTGAGAACTGGTCAGGAGGATTGAGCATTTTCTCATCACATTCAATTATATGTAGGCTCAGAGTGGGAGGGTTGTATTGTATTTTTGTCACACATGAATAGTGATGCAGGAAGGGGCAATAGAGACGAAGGTGCAAAACTACCTTCAAAAAAGGCATTTTCCACATTTTATAGGAAGAAGCCCAAAGCAGGGAAAGTTGAAATAATTTGCCCAAAAAACAAGGCCTGTTGTGCCAGGGCTGGGATTTTAATTGAGGGCCACGTTCATTCTACTATACCTCACTCGTACAGGGCCTGGCACAGAATCAGAGCTCAAATTGTGTTGACCTGGATCAGATTGCCACCTCCTTCTCTTACACCTGGTGCTGACTTGTGGAGATGGACAGAGACCTTCCCTCTCTGCAGCCACAGTCCTCCGTGTTGTGCCTTCTCCTGACAGGACAGCCTCTTTCCTTTGGGTCTCATGTTTCTTTTTCTCTTCTGCCCATCCCATCCCCCTGCCAGGGTCTCCAGCGCTCCACCCCGGGGTATCATCCTTTGGGGGAGGGCCTGCAGGGGCTCCAGAATGGCTGAGGAGAAGAAGCTGAAGCTCAGCAATACCGTGCTGCCCTCAGAGTCGATGAAGGTGGTGGCTGAATCAATGGGTATCGCTCAGATTCAGGAGGAGACCTGCCAGCTGCTGACAGATGAGGTCAGCTACCGCATCAAGGAGATTGCCCAGGTAGCCCAGCCCGCATGGTACAGACAATGTCGCCCAGGCCCCTTCTGCCTCCAGGTCTTGGGCTGATTGATGTGTGTTCTCCTACCCGCAGGATGCCTTAAAGTTCATGCACATGGGGAAGCGGCAGAAGCTTACCACCAGTGATATTGACTATGCGCTGAAGCTCAAGAATGTTGAGGTGATGGGGACGCAGGCACCTCCCAGACCTGCATTTGCCTGAGCCACGCCTCTGCAGGTTCCCTTCTCATCTATGTCTCTCTCCCGGTACAGCCACTCTATGGCTTCCATGCTCAGGAGTTCATTCCTTTCCGGTTTGCCTCTGGTGGGGGTCGGGAGCTTTACTTCTACGAGGAGAAGGAGATCGACCTGAGCGACATCATCAATACCCCTCTGCCCCGGGTGCCCCTGGATGTCTGCCTCAAAGGTTGGAGTGGCGAGCAAGGTAGTGGGAGGAGGGGAAACATATATGGGCAAACATATATGGGCTTGAGGAAGCTCAGGCTGAGGAGACCCTCAGTGTGAAATTCTGGGGAGCTGCAGGAGGTGGAACAGGAAGACACTCTTGCCTAGCGTGGAGTGACCCCCTTGCGTCCTTGTCCAGCAATCCAACCTGACAATTCTTTCCTTCCTCACAGCTCACTGGTTGAGCATTGAAGGCTGCCAGCCAGCTATACCAGAGAATCCACCCCCAGGTAACCTCCATGGCCAGAACCCACTCCTCTCTGTTCACCTCTCCTCCTTCCCTTACAACTGCTGCCATGCTCATCACTCCGGCTGTGACTGCTTTCTCACCAGCTCCAAAGGAGCAGCAGAAGGCAGAGGCCACAGAACCCCTGAAATCAGCAAAGCCAGGCCAGGAGGAAGACAGCCCCTTGAAAGGCAAAGGTCAAGGGGCTGCTCCAGCCGACGGCAAAGGTCAGCACTGCCAGGCCAGGCCTCTTCTGGCTCTCGCCATGAAGCCAGATGTCTCCTGTGAAGTTGGGGAGGTCAGGGCAGGGCCTGAGACCTGAGGCCAGAGAGCCCCAGAAAGGAGCAAGAAGCCTGAGAGGAAGCCAGGGCTCCCAGGCCCAGGGAGAGGAGGGTCAAGGCATGTCCCTGGCGTGCCCACACTGACCAGCTTTGTCTCATACTGATGCCTCTTCTGGAGCTTTCTTTTGCAAACCCATCCTCCCAATTCACACAGGGAAAGAGAAGAAGGCACCACCCCTGCTGGAGGGGGCGCCTTTGCGACTGAAGCCGCGAAGTATCCACGAGTTGTCTGTGGAGCAGCAGCTGTACTATAAGGAGATCACTGAGGCCTGCGTGGGGTCATGTGAGGCCAAGAGAGCGGTGAGACCCCACCATCCTGCTGTCCCCCAGATCCTTTTCTCACAGGCCCTGCAGATTCCCTCCCATCTCTGCCCCCACATCACCCGCTCCCACCTCCCACAGGAGGCTCTACAGAGCATTGCCACGGACCCAGGGCTCTATCAGATGCTGCCGCGCTTCAGCACCTTCATCTCGGAGGGGGTGAGCAGATTCAGGAAGGCTGGGACCTAGGATGAGGTTGCAGGGGGTGAGGTGGTGGCAGGGGGAGCTCATGGGAGGGGTCTCACTAACCCCCTCCCGCCTCCTTCCCTCAGGTTCGTGTGAACGTGGTGCAGAACAACCTGGCCCTGCTCATCTATCTGATGCGCATGGTGAAGGCACTGATGGATAACCCTACACTGTATCTAGAAAAATACGTGCGTGGTCCTGCCTGCCCCCCACCCCCCATCCCAGGGAATCTCGCTGCCACCAACAGGAAGCCCTTCATTAGAATTAGCTAACTTACCACTTCTCCTTTAGGTGCATGAGTTGATTCCAGCAGTAATGACCTGCATCGTGAGCAGACAGCTGTGCCTGCGGCCAGATGTGGACAACCACTGGGCGCTCCGAGACTTTGCTGCCCGCCTGGTGGCCCAGATTTGCAAGCATTTCAGCACCACCACTAATAACATCCAGTCCCGGATCACCAAGACCTTCACCAAGGTGATCACCAGTATCAGCTGTTCCACATCCCTACCCTGGGGTTGTGACCAGGACAGTGTGAGCTTCACCCAAACCAGTGGTGGGTCAGTTGTGGATAGAGGAAAATGACACTGAAATTGAGGGTTTGGAGGGACTGGGCTTAGCCACATCTGTAACAGCTGGCCCATGAGTGCATTGACAAGCCTTTCAGAAAGTCCCCTTCATCTGGGTTTATTTTCCATCCTCTTACAGAGCTGGGTGGATGAGAAGACTCCATGGACAACACGTTACGGCTCCATCGCAGGCCTGGCAGAGCTGGGACATGATGTGAGGCCCCAGTGGTGGGAGGCAGCTTTCAAGGAGGGGAGGCTTTGCGGCTCATAGAACGCAATGACTCCCACCTGGGAGGCGAGGTGGTTACCTCAAGGCCTTAGCTTCTCTCTTTCCAACAGGTAATTAAGACTCTGATTCTGCCACGGCTGCAGCAGGAGGGGGAAAGGATCCGCGGTGTCCTGGACGGCCCTGTACTGAGCAACATTGACCGCATTGGAGCTGACCACGTGCAGAGCCTCCTCTTGGTGACCAGAGCCCCCCCACCCCACACGCCCTCCACCACAGGCACAATGTTCAGGAAGCGTATGGTGCCTTTATTCACTTCTTCCGTCTCTCTTGGATATCCAGAGTCCAGTACTGTTTTACAGGTGGAAAGACAGACCTCAAGCTGTTAAGTAAGAAATCAGAGGTTGTCACTTTCAGCCTGTGACTTCTAGACTGCACTGTCCTCCCTCCCCTGCCAGGCCTCTGCCTTGCTCTGTGGCCCATTCTGTGCAAGGCAGACACCCTGTGGACCAGCTGCCCTTAGATGTCACCAGTGTATCCAGCAAGAGCTCCATCCACACCAGCTGGTGCCTGAGAAAAACCACAGCATTCCTCACACACTGATAGCCCAGCAGACTGGCCCCCAGCAGGGCCATCCTGAGATAACCGGCAGTGTCCTTTTCCACCCCTTCCCCATCGCACTTGTGCGGGTTCCAGCCCTTCCTCAGCAAGCACCTCTGCCTTCTCTGCAGAAACACTGTGCCCCTGTTCTGGCAAAGCTGCGTCCACCGCCTGACAACCAGGATGCTTACCGGGCTGAATTTGGGTCCCTTGGGCCCCTCCTCTGCTCCCATGTGGTCAAGGCCCGGGCCCAGGCTGCTCTGCAGGCTCAGCAGGTCAACAGGACCACTCTGACCATCACACAGGTCAGTGACTGTGGGAGGAGGGCAGGTGAGCCAGTAGAGAGGAGGGGTGAGGTGAAATGAAGAAAAATAGGGGTGGGATGGAGCCGAGGTTCCCTTCAGAGTGCAGACTCAAAGACACGAGCACACTTTAAAACACAGGGCCCTGGGTCAGCCATCTTGGGGAAGTCTGGGCCTCCCAAGTGAATGGAGACCCACCTGAGGACAAGCCCTGCTTTTTCTTTGACGTTGACATCTTTTTGCCTTTTCTTCTCACAGCCCCGGCCCACGCTGACCCTCTCACAGGCCCCCCAGCCTGGCCCTCGGACCCCTGGCTTGCTAAAGGTCCCTGGCTCCATTGCGCTGCCCGTCCAGACACTGGTGTCTGCGCGTGCTGCTGCCCCGCCCCAGCCTTCCCCTCCTCCAACCAAGTTTATCGTAATGTCATCGTCCTCTAGTGCCTCATCCACCCAACAGGTACATGGAGCCGTGTGGGACCAGGGGTGGTGAGGAGCATGTCATCATGCTGCCCCAAGGGGCCTGGGTTATACAGAGCATTCTAGGGAGCCACACACTGGAGTCACCTCTGGGGCCAAAGACAGGAGCTGAAAGAGCCACCTCCCAGGGACTTGAAAGGCTATAGCTGCTCATCGCGAGCAAGGCTCTCAAACTGACAGCAGCCTACAGGCTCCTGAGGATGGGAACTGGTTGTTCCCTGGTTGGAGCAAATGAAGGATTCCCCCAGGCCTGGGGAATGGAGGGTGCAAGGCAACTGGCACTGTCTTCCCTCTTTGCCCCAGGTCTTGTCCCTCAGCACCTCAGCCCCTGGCTCAGGCTCCACCACTACTTCTCCCGTCACCACCACAGTCCCCAGTGTGCAGCCCATTGTCAAGCTGGTCTCCACCGCCACAACCGCAGCTCCCAGCACTGCTCCCTCTGGCCCCGGCAGCGTCCAGAAGTACATCGTTGTCTCTCTTCCCACAGCAGGGGAGGGCAAAGGAGGCCCCACATCCCATCCTTCTCCAGCCCCGCCCCCAGCCTCCGCCCCCTCCCCGCTTGGGAGCAGTGCCCTCTGTGGGGGGAAGCAAGAAGCCGGGGATAGCCCGCCTCCAGCTCCAGGGACTCCAAAAGCTAATGGCTCCCAGCCTCCTGGGTCTGGCTCCCCTCAGCCTGCGCCTTGATGCTGTTGCACATCTGCCAACCGTACCCCCCAGGAATCACACTCGCCGGAGGAAGTAACAGTCTGCTTCCCCCGTGGTAACTTTTTTAGATATTGTACAGTCAGTTCCTCAGAATAAAAGTTTGGTTTGTAAGTTCTGATCCATCTCAGTCCTTCCTGTGCCAGTTACACACAAGGATCCTCAGGACTCAGGACCCTTCCAACCAGATCTGGAGCTGCAGGCCAGAAGGCTGGAAGAGAGCACAGTCCTCTCATTCCACAGACCACTGCTCGCCACCCAGCCCTCGTACGGGAGCCTCAGATCCGAATGACATAGGCATCGCTGTGGCTCAGGTGTCGCACCCACTTGTGGGGGTTGGTGTTGCCGCACGGTCTGAATGCCAGCCTGAGGAAGCGGACCTGGAGGCCAGAGCACGTGTGCCGGGGAAGTTCAAAGGAGAGGCTGGCAGGGCCCAGTCCCAGAGGAGGGGCTGCGGTGGAGGGCCCTTGGCGAGTAAGTCCAGGGAGGCCTGGCACATCCATCTGAGGGGCAGAGGCAGGGGTTGGGTGTTGAAGGCACAGAGAGGAAAAAGGCCCAGGAAGCTAACCACAGTGATGAGCTGTGTGAGGAGGGCTGGGTCAGGGCTGACAACAACAGTGGCTGGGTGGGGAGCAGCTTAGAAAATTGGCAGCTGATACCTGGAAAAGGCCTGAGAGCTGAGAGCCCCCCTGCACCCGAGGCAGGTCCCAGTGAAGGGCTCCACTCCCCAGCTCTGCCTTCTGCTCTGGGCTGCTCAGCTCCTGCGATAAGCTGGAGTTTGGAGAGAAAAAAGTGCTGTGCTCAACCCCTGCCTTTCTTGGGCAGGCCAGTTCCTCCCCACAGCTGACACCTCCTCCCCAGTGTTATTAGGAAGCTGGCAAAACCACCCGGCTCCCGCCCTGCGGTGCACCCATGCTAACCTGACCACCCCTCGAGGCAGGGGCAGGTGCACCCTGACGTTGAGAGCTTGGCTGCAAAGAAGAAAGGAGGACTCAGCCCCAGGAAGGTGGTGACTTGCCCCCACTCTTCATTAATGTCACAAGTAGAATTCAGCACAAGTGCCATCCCAGTCCCTTCCCAAACTCTGAAACTTCTAACTAAACCGATTCTGAAGCTGCTAAAGGCGAAAGCAACAAGCATCTGAGCCCTGTCTCCCACTGTACACAGCTGAACTAGGCTTGGCTACCCGACTCTTACCTCTTTGGGGGCAGGTCACATCTTAACTTCAGATAAACCTGGAGCCTGGGTAGGAGGGTACAGTACTGTTATTCACGCCACATCCTACCAACATCTCACCGCACCCCCCCCCCATGGGAGTCCAGAGGTCTCTTCTGACGGCTGAAAGTGAGGAAGGTTTCCCATCAGACAGGGAGACCCAGGGCTCTGAGGTATAGTGTGATAGTCTGTCAGCACCAGGGGGTCCACTTGAGGTTTGTGACCATCAGTTCAAAGTGAGAACTGGTCAGGAGGATTGAGCATTTTCTCATCACATTCAATTATATGTAGGCTCAGAGTGGGAGGGTTGTATTGTATTTTTGTCACACATGAATAGTGATGCAGGAAGGGGCAATAGAGACGAAGGTGCAAAACTACCTTCAAAAAAGGCATTTTCCACATTTTATAGGAAGAAGCCCAAAGCAGGGAAAGTTGAAATAATTTGCCCAAAAAACAAGGCCTGTTGTGCCAGGGCTGGGATTTTAATTGAGGGCCACGTTCATTCTACTATACCTCACTCGTACAGGGCCTGGCACAGAATCAGAGCTCAAATTGTGTTGACCTGGATCAGATTGCCACCTCCTTCTCTTACACCTGGTGCTGACTTGTGGAGATGGACAGAGACCTTCCCTCTCTGCAGCCACAGTCCTCCGTGTTGTGCCTTCTCCTGACAGGACAGCCTCTTTCCTTTGGGTCTCATGTTTCTTTTTCTCTTCTGCCCATCCCATCCCCCTGCCAGGGTCTCCAGCGCTCCACCCCGGGGTATCATCCTTTGGGGGAGGGCCTGCAGGGGCTCCAGAATGGCTGAGGAGAAGAAGCTGAAGCTCAGCAATACCGTGCTGCCCTCAGAGTCGATGAAGGTGGTGGCTGAATCAATGGGTATCGCTCAGATTCAGGAGGAGACCTGCCAGCTGCTGACAGATGAGGTCAGCTACCGCATCAAGGAGATTGCCCAGGTAGCCCAGCCCGCATGGTACAGACAATGTCGCCCAGGCCCCTTCTGCCTCCAGGTCTTGGGCTGATTGATGTGTGTTCTCCTACCCGCAGGATGCCTTAAAGTTCATGCACATGGGGAAGCGGCAGAAGCTTACCACCAGTGATATTGACTATGCGCTGAAGCTCAAGAATGTTGAGGTGATGGGGACGCAGGCACCTCCCAGACCTGCATTTGCCTGAGCCACGCCTCTGCAGGTTCCCTTCTCATCTATGTCTCTCTCCCGGTACAGCCACTCTATGGCTTCCATGCTCAGGAGTTCATTCCTTTCCGGTTTGCCTCTGGTGGGGGTCGGGAGCTTTACTTCTACGAGGAGAAGGAGATCGACCTGAGCGACATCATCAATACCCCTCTGCCCCGGGTGCCCCTGGATGTCTGCCTCAAAGGTTGGAGTGGCGAGCAAGGTAGTGGGAGGAGGGGAAACATATATGGGCAAACATATATGGGCTTGAGGAAGCTCAGGCTGAGGAGACCCTCAGTGTGAAATTCTGGGGAGCTGCAGGAGGTGGAACAGGAAGACACTCTTGCCTAGCGTGGAGTGACCCCCTTGCGTCCTTGTCCAGCAATCCAACCTGACAATTCTTTCCTTCCTCACAGCTCACTGGTTGAGCATTGAAGGCTGCCAGCCAGCTATACCAGAGAATCCACCCCCAGGTAACCTCCATGGCCAGAACCCACTCCTCTCTGTTCACCTCTCCTCCTTCCCTTACAACTGCTGCCATGCTCATCACTCCGGCTGTGACTGCTTTCTCACCAGCTCCAAAGGAGCAGCAGAAGGCAGAGGCCACAGAACCCCTGAAATCAGCAAAGCCAGGCCAGGAGGAAGACAGCCCCTTGAAAGGCAAAGGTCAAGGGGCTGCTCCAGCCGACGGCAAAGGTCAGCACTGCCAGGCCAGGCCTCTTCTGGCTCTCGCCATGAAGCCAGATGTCTCCTGTGAAGTTGGGGAGGTCAGGGCAGGGCCTGAGACCTGAGGCCAGAGAGCCCCAGAAAGGAGCAAGAAGCCTGAGAGGAAGCCAGGGCTCCCAGGCCCAGGGAGAGGAGGGTCAAGGCATGTCCCTGGCGTGCCCACACTGACCAGCTTTGTCTCATACTGATGCCTCTTCTGGAGCTTTCTTTTGCAAACCCATCTTCCCAATTCACACAGGGAAAGAGAAGAAGGCACCACCCCTGCTGGAGGGGGCGCCTTTGCGACTGAAGCCGCGAAGTATCCACGAGTTGTCTGTGGAGCAGCAGCTGTACTATAAGGAGATCACTGAGGCCTGCGTGGGGTCATGTGAGGCCAAGAGAGCGGTGAGACCCCACCATCCTGCTGTCCCCCAGATCCTTTTCTCACAGGCCCTGCAGATTCCCTCCCATCTCTGCCCCCACATCACCCGCTCCCACCTCCCACAGGAGGCTCTACAGAGCATTGCCACGGACCCAGGGCTCTATCAGATGCTGCCGCGCTTCAGCACCTTCATCTCGGAGGGGGTGAGCAGATTCAGGAAGGCTGGGACCTAGGATGAGGTTGCAGGGGGTGAGGTGGTGGCAGGGGGAGCTCATGGGAGGGGTCTCACTAACCCCCTCCCGCCTCCTTCCCTCAGGTTCGTGTGAACGTGGTGCAGAACAACCTGGCCCTGCTCATCTATCTGATGCGCATGGTGAAGGCACTGATGGATAACCCTACACTGTATCTAGAAAAATACGTGCGTGGTCCTGCCTGCCCCCCACCCCCCATCCCAGGGAATCTCGCTGCCACCAACAGGAAGCCCTTCATTAGAATTAGCTAACTTACCACTTCTCCTTTAGGTGCATGAGTTGATTCCAGCAGTAATGACCTGCATCGTGAGCAGACAGCTGTGCCTGCGGCCAGATGTGGACAACCACTGGGCGCTCCGAGACTTTGCTGCCCGCCTGGTGGCCCAGATTTGCAAGCATTTCAGCACCACCACTAATAACATCCAGTCCCGGATCACCAAGACCTTCACCAAGGTGATCACCAGTATCAGCTGTTCCACATCCCTACCCTGGGGTTGTGACCAGGACAGTGTGAGCTTCACCCAAACCAGTGGTGGGTCAGTTGTGGATAGAGGAAAATGACACTGAAATTGAGGGTTTGGAGGGACTGGGCTTAGCCACATCTGTAACAGCTGGCCCATGAGTGCATTGACAAGCCTTTCAGAAAGTCCCCTTCATCTGGGTTTATTTTCCATCCTCTTACAGAGCTGGGTGGATGAGAAGACTCCATGGACAACACGTTACGGCTCCATCGCAGGCCTGGCAGAGCTGGGACATGATGTGAGGCCCCAGTGGTGGGAGGCAGCTTTCAAGGAGGGGAGGCTTTGCGGCTCATAGAACGCAATGACTCCCACCTGGGAGGCGAGGTGGTTACCTCAAGGCCTTAGCTTCTCTCTTTCCAACAGGTAATTAAGACTCTGATTCTGCCACGGCTGCAGCAGGAGGGGGAAAGGATCCGCGGTGTCCTGGACGGCCCTGTACTGAGCAACATTGACCGCATTGGAGCTGACCACGTGCAGAGCCTCCTCTTGGTGACCAGAGCCCCCCCACCCCACACGCCCTCCACCACAGGCACAATGTTCAGGAAGCGTATGGTGCCTTTATTCACTTCTTCCGTCTCTCTTGGATATCCAGAGTCCAGTACTGTTTTACAGGTGGAAAGACAGACCTCAAGCTGTTAAGTAAGAAATCAGAGGTTGTCACTTTCAGCCTGTGACTTCTAGACTGCACTGTCCTCCCTCCCCTGCCAGGCCTCTGCCTTGCTCTGTGGCCCATTCTGTGCAAGGCAGACACCCTGTGGACCAGCTGCCCTTAGATGTCACCAGTGTATCCAGCAAGAGCTCCATCCACACCAGCTGGTGCCTGAGAAAAACCACAGCATTCCTCACACACTGATAGCCCAGCAGACTGGCCCCCAGCAGGGCCATCCTGAGATAACCGGCAGTGTCCTTTTCCACCCCTTCCCCATCGCACTTGTGCGGGTTCCAGCCCTTCCTCAGCAAGCACCTCTGCCTTCTCTGCAGAAACACTGTGCCCCTGTTCTGGCAAAGCTGCGTCCACCGCCTGACAACCAGGATGCTTACCGGGCTGAATTTGGGTCCCTTGGGCCCCTCCTCTGCTCCCATGTGGTCAAGGCCCGGGCCCAGGCTGCTCTGCAGGCTCAGCAGGTCAACAGGACCACTCTGACCATCACACAGGTCAGTGACTGTGGGAGGAGGGCAGGTGAGCCAGTAGAGAGGAGGGGTGAGGTGAAATGAAGAAAAATAGGGGTGGGATGGAGCCGAGGTTCCCTTCAGAGTGCAGACTCAAAGACACGAGCACACTTTAAAACACAGGGCCCTGGGTCAGCCATCTTGGGGAAGTCTGGGCCTCCCAAGTGAATGGAGACCCACCTGAGGACAAGCCCTGCTTTTTCTTTGACGTTGACATCTTTTTGCCTTTTCTTCTCACAGCCCCGGCCCACGCTGACCCTCTCACAGGCCCCCCAGCCTGGCCCTCGGACCCCTGGCTTGCTAAAGGTCCCTGGCTCCATTGCGCTGCCCGTCCAGACACTGGTGTCTGCGCGTGCTGCTGCCCCGCCCCAGCCTTCCCCTCCTCCAACCAAGTTTATCGTAATGTCATCGTCCTCTAGTGCCTCATCCACCCAACAGGTACATGGAGCCGTGTGGGACCAGGGGTGGTGAGGAGCATGTCATCATGCTGCCCCAAGGGGCCTGGGTTATACAGAGCATTCTAGGGAGCCACACACTGGAGTCACCTCTGGGGCCAAAGACAGGAGCTGAAAGAGCCACCTCCCAGGGACTTGAAAGGCTATAGCTGCTCATCGCGAGCAAGGCTCTCAAACTGACAGCAGCCTACAGGCTCCTGAGGATGGGAACTGGTTGTTCCCTGGTTGGAGCAAATGAAGGATTCCCCCAGGCCTGGGGAATGGAGGGTGCAAGGCAACTGGCACTGTCTTCCCTCTTTGCCCCAGGTCTTGTCCCTCAGCACCTCAGCCCCTGGCTCAGGCTCCACCACTACTTCTCCCGTCACCACCACAGTCCCCAGTGTGCAGCCCATTGTCAAGCTGGTCTCCACCGCCACAACCGCAGCTCCCAGCACTGCTCCCTCTGGCCCCGGCAGCGTCCAGAAGTACATCGTTGTCTCTCTTCCCACAGCAGGGGAGGGCAAAGGAGGCCCCACATCCCATCCTTCTCCAGCCCCGCCCCCAGCCTCCGCCCCCTCCCCGCTTGGGAGCAGTGCCCTCTGTGGGGGGAAGCAAGAAGCCGGGGATAGCCCGCCTCCAGCTCCAGGGACTCCAAAAGCTAATGGCTCCCAGCCTCCTGGGTCTGGCTCCCCTCAGCCTGCGCCTTGATGCTGTTGCACATCTGCCAACCGTACCCCCCAGGAATCACACTCGCCGGAGGAAGTAACAGTCTGCTTCCCCCGTGGTAACTTTTTTAGATATTGTACAGTCAGTTCCTCAGAATAAAAGTTTGGTTTGTAAGTTCTGATCCATCTCAGTCCTTCCTGTGCCAGTTACACACAAGGATCCTCAGGACTCAGGACCCTTCCAACCAGATCTGGAGCTGCAGGCCAGAAGGCTGGAAGAGAGCACAGTCCTCTCATTCCACAGACCACTGCTCGCCACCCAGCCCTCGTACGGGAGCCTCAGATCCGAATGACATAGGCATCGCTGTGGCTCAGGTGTCGCACCCACTTGTGGGGGTTGGTGTTGCCGCACGGTCTGAATGCCAGCCTGAGGAAGCGGACCTGGAGGCCAGAGCACGTGTGCCGGGGAAGTTCAAAGGAGAGGCTGGCAGGGCCCAGTCCCAGAGGAGGGGCTGCGGTGGAGGGCCCTTGGCGAGTAAGTCCAGGGAGGCCTGGCACATCCATCTGAGGGGCAGAGGCAGGGGTTGGGTGTTGAAGGCACAGAGAGGAAAAAGGCCCAGGAAGCTAACCACAGTGATGAGCTGTGTGAGGAGGGCTGGGTCAGGGCTGACAACAACAGTGGCTGGGTGGGGAGCAGCTTAGAAAATTGGCAGCTGATACCTGGAAAAGGCCTGAGAGCTGAGAGCCCCCCTGCACCCGAGGCAGGTCCCAGTGAAGGGCTCCACTCCCCAGCTCTGCCTTCTGCTCTGGGCTGCTCAGCTCCTGCGATAAGCTGGAGTTTGGAGAGAAAAAAGTGCTGTGCTCAACCCCTGCCTTTCTTGGGCAGGCCAGTTCCTCCCCACAGCTGACACCTCCTCCCCAGTGTTATTAGGAAGCTGGCAAAACCACCCGGCTCCCGCCCTGCGGTGCACCCATGCTAACCTGACCACCCCTCGAGGCAGGGGCAGGTGCACCCTGACGTTGAGAGCTTGGCTGCAAAGAAGAAAGGAGGACTCAGCCCCAGGAAGGTGGTGACTTGCCCCCACTCTTCATTAATGTCACAAGTAGAATTCAGCACAAGTGCCATCCCAGTCCCTTCCCAAACTCTGAAACTTCTAACTAAACCGATTCTGAAGCTGCTAAAGGCGAAAGCAACAAGCATCTGAGCCCTGTCTCCCACTGTACACAGCTGAACTAGGCTTGGCTACCCGACTCTTACCTCTTTGGGGGCAGGTCACATCTTAACTTCAGATAAACCTGGAGCCTGGGTAGGAGGGTACAGTACTGTTATTCACGCCACATCCTACCAACATCTCACCGCACCCCCCCCCCAAGGCCTCCACACGTGGCTGAGTAGTTTGTGCCCCAAGAAGAAGAGAGGGGCTGAAATCCAGGCCAACCCAACTGGCATTCGTGGGGCTCAGTCCACAGGGTGGGGAGAATGCCTTATTCTGACTATGCCCTGTTATACCACCACCACCACCACGAATCTTCCACAGTGAGTCTAGGGAAACTGTGTGTATTGGTTGGGTTCCAAAGAAGTTCTAAAACAGGGGAAATGGTCTCACCTGCCTAAGCCTCGGTCCCACTGCACAGAGGGAAAGAGCCGAAAGGGGAGAGGGGAGGGGAGGTCATCTGAGAGTTGGTACCGCATCACAGTCAGCTGAGACAGAGAGGAACCGAGCTCAGTTTGGTCTCTCTCCTTACACCTGAGCTGCCTCCCTTCCCCACAGAGGATGGAACATGCTTGGCCGGCCTGATGCTAACCTCGCCCTGAGGCGGCTGCAAGCGGAGGATTCGATGACTCTCAAATTCATCCAGACGCACTGAGCTGTGAAATGAGACCTCATCCACCCGAATTCCAGGCCCATAACCTAGAAAAGAGGGAAAAACTCCTCTCCCAATCCATATTTCGGAAGAGAAGAGCAGGGGGTGGAGGGAAGAATCTGTCTCTAACATCACTCCATGCAACCTGCAGTGGAGACCTACACCTAGGAGAAAAAGACCCATGGCCCTCACCTCTCAGTTCTGACTTGCCCACACAAAATTCTTCTGTTAAGCCAATGCGCATTTCTATTAGAGAAAAGAACATCAGAAAAGGCCACCAAATACCACCATACATGCCACCAAGGAGCCTGTCCCAAACCCCACCCTGAGGCCAGCCTGCAGATTTCTCTCACCAGAGCTGCTGGGAAGAAAGCTCTTGAGTCGGATCTCTCCCTGCACGTCCACCTTCAGTAGCGAACCCTGAGAGTGGGAGGGAGGTTAACGCCCATAGGTGACCTCCCTGACATGCTTCCCAAATGCCATCTGTCCTTAGCTCCAGGGCAGGGTCCAAACTTACATTTGATGCCATCAGTACGGACAGTCTCTCGACCACATCCAGAAACACTTCATTCTTTTGGCTCTGAGGACAGGAGGGGATTTGGGTGGTTGGAGGCTGCATGGCCTGTGTGCTACAATGGACAAGCAGAAAGGACAGGGCAGTGGTGGCTAGGGCCCTGGAGTGGGAACATGGGGGTAAGGAAGGGGATTATCATCCACATCTAGGGGAGGTGGAAAGATACACCAGGATCTTGGACTCTGGGATCCCAGGAAAAAAATCAGAGGGTCTGAACTTGTAAATCTCTCCATCACCTGGTCAGAGCGGCTGGACAGGACAGGGCGGCTGGCTGCACTGCTGGGGGCCACTTTGCTCTGTTGCGTCTCTGCCCCAAACTGTAAAGCACCCAATGCAATCAATCCTCAGGTTTGACATGCCCTGCAAACCCTCCTTCTCCCTTCATCTTCTTCTTTCCAGAGACTGACCAGGCCAACACTGCTGAGGTCAAAGAGGCTGAAGGGCTTGCTGACCACAGCTTCCATCTGGATGAAGTTCCTCAGCATCTCTGTGGATGTCGTCTGTATGTAGCCATAGTCCTATGGGTGGAGGGAGAACAGCCTTTGGGTGGTCAGTGGAAGGATGGGTGAAAATGAGTGGACTTAGCTTCCCACAGAACACATCATCAGGGAGCGGACAGTGAGAGAAATCCTTGGACCTCACCAGCACTTCATCCAGGAGTTCATAGACAAGAGCCACGTTTCGGGAGATGGTTCCCTCTCCCAGGGAGCCACAGTAATCGCCCAGGAGAGTAGCTAGCCTGAGGAGACAAGGCAGAGTGTGCATATCCCTTCCTCTCTGCCCCCCCACACCCAGGTGCCTGGCCCTGCCCTCCTCACCGGGAAAGCAGCTCCAGGAGGCTGAAGGGAGAAACGTTTTCTGAAGTCGTGGCCACCAAATAGAGGCCGCTGTGCCTGATGTGAATGAAATGACGATCACCGTGGTGCTGAGGCACAGGCGGGGGAAAAGTGTTTGAAAGAGAGAGTTGCTGTGATTAAGGGCCCGTGAGACTTGGGGTTGTATCCTGAGTTCCCAACTCGCTGGCAGTGTGACTTTGGGCGAGATATTAAACACCCCCTACCTTCCTGATGTAATAATTGGAGTTCACAACAGTACCCACCCCAGAGGTACTGAGGACTGAGATCTGTGAGGAGCTTTGTTTGCTGTATTACTAGCATTTAGTAAACTTGCGCTGATACTATTTGAATGTACCCACCAAGTGGAAAACAGTCCTGGGAGGAAGGAGGCGCCCCTGTTCCTGCCCGCGAGGCGCACCCCCCAGTGATACACGCCCCCCCCACCCCGCAAGTGGTTACCATGACAACCGGGGACTCATCTCCAGGCAGTCCCATCAGCTTCCGGTAGAAGAGCTCGGCTATGTCGCGGCCGCCACTGTCCCCGCGGACTGACCGGGTGGAAGGACAGCTAAGGAGCCGGCGACACAGGCTGGCTCCGGGGCACTACTTCCTCCCAGTCCCTCCCCACCGTCCCGCGGGTCAAGGATACAGTCCTTGTAGATGAGAGGGTCCCCCTTGGACGACAGAATGAAGAACTGGGAAATCATGGCCGCTCTGGCGAGCAAACAAGACGGCGAGGGCCCCGCCCTGCGGCCCCGGAACAAAAGGACGCGCGCGGGCTGGCCCTTTAAGAGCGACGCGCCTCCGCCCGCTCCAGCCCAGACCGCGGGAAACCCGGCACCCTGCCCACCCCGCCCAGCCCTTCCCTCCCGGGACTCGCGCCGCTTCCCCATCACTCAGCCCTGGCTCGCCCGCTGAGTGGCGAAGGCTGGGGCCTGGGGAAGTGGGCGGAGCGGAAGGGCTCCTCCCCGATTGGCCCGCAAGCAGTGGCGCCGGTCACGTGGGAGGCGACGTTTCGCGCCAATTTTGGTTGAATGGGCAGTGGTCCGCCGTGCGGACGCTCTCTGCTACCTGGGGCCGAGATCCTTGAGTCGGACAACTGCTGAGGTCCCCGGCAGCGATGGCACTGAAGGACTACGCGCTCGAGAAAGGTGAGGGTCTGCAGACCTGAGAGGGGCGTCCTGCGGAGGAAGCCTTTCCGGCCAAATACTTGTCAATGTGAACTGGGGTTCTGGGGATCTGGGATTGGCGCGCGAGGCCAGAGGCAGGGCCGGGAAGCGGCGGGGCTGTGCCTGCGGGGCGCGCGCGGGGCACCGTGGTCGGAGAAGAGCTGCTCATCGTGTCCGGAAAAGGAGTGGGGGTCGTGGGGGTGGAGGCGGACAGTGGTGCTGGGGATTCTAGAGGGGAGAGTCGCGCCCAGGAGAGACCGGGACCTCAGGGCTTTTCCTCCCCGCGGACTGGCACCCCAGGCCCGCTTCCTTCTGCGCCTTTAGGCACTCCGAGTGCCTGAGTGCTCCCAAGAAGCGCCGAAACCCCGGGGGCGGGCAGGCCCTGGTTGCTGCTCGCCGGGATTGGCCATTTTAGGCCAATCTCCAAGCGGAAGTGAAGGCGGGCGGAAGTCGCGCGACGTCGGTGGAGGGAGTGTCGTGTGTAAACAGTGTCCTTCCGCGCAGCGGTCTTGGATGGAGTTGCTGGTGGTGGGACGGCCCTGGAATCGGGGGACTCAGCTGGAGGCCGAGAGAGGAGGTGGTGGGGTGGGACGTAGTGGCCCCAGACGAGGCGGCCAATCGCCGGGCGAACTCCCGCCTTGGGCGGAGGAATCCGGGCTGTGAGGAGGCAGCATCTGATCCCATGTGCTTCTTTGTTTACTAAGAGCGGAAGCAGTGGCGGGAGAGGTGGTGGGGTTGAAGAAGGACCTACTGGCTGAGGTTTACGGGACCGAAAGAAGGGGGGGAATCGTACGCCTCCAAGGAAAACTGAGAACCTTGAGATCTGAGTGTGTTGCCGGGTGTGGGAGGCTTTTAGGAAAGAGTACTGAGGTTTCTAACTAGGGCAGAGGCAGGGATTCCTCCGGGGGGAGGATGTTGGGTAGTACTTAAAGCTGCTAGGGTTCCCTTATTCCCCAGGTGGAAACAGACGTGTTTGAAAGGAGTTCTGCTTAGTTTGGGGAGAATGATGGAGGCTTATTTAAATGTTCATGTAACTAGTTGGAAGGTGTTACGTTAAACAAAACTGGGTTTCTTAGATCTGGATCAGAGAATTTTGCAATAAATTCCCTTTCAGATATTGCATAATATTTGAGACGAAAGTTGATCCTCGTGATTTTACATTTGTGTTATAGAAAAGATTAAGAAGTTCCTACAAGAGTTCTACCAGGATGAGGAATTTGGCAAGAAGCAGTTCAAGTATGGGAACCAGTTGGTAAGTCTAAGATTGAATGGAAGGAATAAGGTGGTTGCTTAAGGAGTTGTAGGGGTGGCTGGACTGGCTTATTGCAGCAAGTGACACCTTTAGCAGGATGCCTGGTAAGTGAATATAATACACTCATAATGATTAAAGGGTGTTAGCAATTTTTGGGGACTGAGAAGTGAATATTGCTCTGTTCATACTGTTTCAATCTTCCCCTGAGGAGGCCAGAACCTGTGTGCTGAGCTCACGGATGTGAACACTGGTGAGCACAGTAAATTTGACTCTTGCTGCCTCTTCCCCACCCCAGGTTCAACTGGCTCATCGGGAGCAAGTGGTAATGTACATAGACCTAGATGATATAGCCGAGGACGATCCTGAGTTGGTGGACTCAATTTGTGAGAACGCCAAACGCTATGCAAGGCTCTTTGCTGATGCTGTGCAAGAGCTGCTGCCTCAGTTCAAGGAGCGAGAGGTGAGTGGTTGCTAATAAACACAGGGCAAGGGACTTGGGTTTCTGTTAAGAAGCTTTCCAGATATTGGTGTTTTCTGAATGGGTAGACAGGCAGTGATTTCTGCTTGGCCACTCTTAGAATGCTCTCCCCTTTCCGCATCCTGCTACTTATTTTTCCTGTCCTGCTTTTTTCATTAGGTGGTAAATAAAGATGTCCTGGACGTTTATATTGAGCACCGGCTGATGATGGAACAGCGAAGCCGGGACCCAGGGACAGCCCGAAGCTCACAGAACCAGTACCCTCCTGAGCTCCTGCGCAGATTGTGAGTGGTCTTGGTGGGGAAGGGTATAGGAATTTGTTTTTCAAGACCTTAATAATGACTATTTTCTTTTAGTGAGCTGTATTTTCAGGGCCCAAGCAGTAACAAGCCTCGCGTGATCCGGGAAGTAAAGGCTGACTCTGTGGGGAAATTGGTGACTGTGCGTGGAATTGTCACCAGGGTCTCTGAAGTCAAACCCCGAATGGTAGTGGCCACTTACACTTGTGACCAGTGTGGGGCAGAGACCTACCAGCCGGTATGTATGGAGCAAGAACTTGGAGCACATTTAAATGTTAATGGTTTGTTTTTTAAGAATTAATTTTGTCTTCTGGTATCTATCTGTTTATCATAGAACACATTCAGTTCTTTTTCTGGTATGTTGTCTGTCCACATCCATTGGTGTTCTCGCTTCTTATCATTATTGACCTAGGAGAGTTGAAGGTGGCCTTGACTGTTTTCATGGTATCTGCCCTGAAGAGGAAATGTGATTCAAGTGACTGGCTGACTTGGAGAGGCTCATTTCCTACTGATTCCTTTGGTACTTCTTTTTTTACATCCTAGATCCAGTCTCCCACTTTCATGCCTCTGATCATGTGCCCAAGCCAGGAGTGCCAGACCAACCGCTCAGGAGGGCGGCTCTATTTGCAGACACGGGGCTCCAAATTCATCAAATTCCAGGAGATGAAAATGCAAGAACATGTGAGTTGGGGGTATGTGGTCCAGGGCCCAGGGAAGGCAGAGCATGGCTCAAATCCTGCAGTTACTCACACAGTGGAAGAAAGGAAAAGAGGCTGAGGCAGAGAAGTCACCTAGAGCAGGGGGGGCGGTTTACCTAGAACTTGCTGGTTGAGGTGGTCTTAGCTTCCTCTCCTGTCAGCTTGTCTGAGGTAGGACGCTGAGAAGTAGAGGAGTGGAGTGGGATGCCAAGACGGAGGGTTAGGTCCTTGTAGACCTCGGGTTCCTTTCTGTTTGCCTATGTACTCTTCTCCCCTGTAGAGTGACCAAGTTCCTGTGGGAAATATCCCTCGTAGCATCACCGTGCTGGTGGAAGGAGAGAACACAAGGATAGCCCAGCCTGGAGACCACATCAGTGTCACTGGTATCTTCTTGCCCATCCTGCGTACTGGGTTCCGACAGGTGGTGCAGGTAAGGAAGGGAGTCCGAGGTGAGGAGGTGTGCCCCCTTTTCCCCCATCTGCTTGGTGTCACCACACCCTCCGAGAAAACTGTCAACAGCCAAATACCACACAGCAGAACAAAAGGTTTTGGCAGAACTCCCAGTGGAGGAATGGTGTGGAAGGGCAAGTCAAAAGGATTTCATTCCTTTCCTGGCATTTCCCGTCCAAGGGTTTACTCTCAGAAACGTACCTGGAAGCCCATCGGGTCGTGAAGATGAGTAAGAGCGAGGAGGAGGAGTCGGCTAGGGAGCTGAGCAGGGAGGAGCTGAGGCAGATCGCAGGTGAGAAGCCCGGGGAAGGGCAGGGAGTTGGGGGGGGGTGTTCTTTCTTCCCCAGAAAATCCTTTTAACTCTCAACTTACCACAGAGGAGGATTTCTATGAAAAGCTGGCCGCCTCTATTGCGCCAGAGATATATGGGCATGAAGATGTTAAGAAGGCGCTGCTGCTCCTGCTGGTAGGCGGCGTGGACAAGACTCCTCGAGGCATGAAGATCAGGGGTAAGGGGAGAGGAGAGGCTGGTGTGCATGTAGGCATTTGGAGGAGAGGATGAGGGGGTCACAAAATAAGAGTTGGCATCTTGGCTTCGAGGGCACACGAAGGGTGGGATTAAAAAATAAATGCTGGGTGTTGGGGGGGCCTCAAATATTTGCCTCTGTCATTGGACCTCATTGAAAAAAGTCACCCAGGAGCTTCTTCCCCTTCTCCAGGCAACATCAACATCTGCCTGATGGGGGACCCGGGTGTGGCCAAGTCTCAGCTCCTTTCTTATATTGATCGCCTGGCCCCCCGCAGTGAGTAATCGGGCCCTGGGAGAGGTAAACAAGACAGGGATAGGACCACTGTGCTTATCTGCTTTGGGGGGTTTGGAAGGTAGGAGAGGAAGAGATGTCAGCACTGACACCCCACAGATCTTCACCTGCCTCAGGAAGGCCTGGGCAGGTGGGTAGAGCAGTTGTAGTTAGTCACTGTCTCCATTTATTGTGGATCTTTTCCTAAACATGTCCACTTAACTTCTCTTCCTAACCCTGCCACTCAGGCCAGTACACAACAGGCCGGGGCTCCTCCGGAGTGGGGCTTACAGCAGCTGTGCTGAGAGACTCTGTGAGTGGGGAGCTGACCCTGGAGGGGGGGGCCCTTGTGCTGGCTGACCAGGGGGTGTGCTGTATTGATGAGTTCGACAAGATGGCTGAGGCTGACCGCACAGCCATCCACGAGGTCATGGAGCAGCAGACCATCTCCATTGCCAAGGCAGGCATCCTCACCACACTCAATGCCCGCTGCTCCATCCTGGCTGCTGCCAACCCTGCCTACGGGCGCTACAACCCTCGCCGCAGCCTGGAGCAGAACATACAGCTCCCTGCTGCGCTGCTGTCCCGATTTGACCTCCTCTGGCTGATCCAGGACAGGCCCGACAGAGACAATGACCTACGGTAAAGGAGGCTCAACACTGAGAGACATTAAGTAATGATGTGTAGGAAAGGAGGAGAAACTGGAGCCGCCCACCCCAAATTCTCTCATGGGAACTCCAGAGCTTCCCCTCTCACTGCAGGGACTGGCCCGCGGTTCTTAGGGAAACTGGATCAGGGCTGAAACCACTGATGAGGGTTTCCTGTGGAAGCTTGTCATTGTCAATACTGTGAGGAGATGGCAGGGCTGAGATGGGCCATAGAGTTGGGACAGCAGGTGTGTAGCACCACAAAGTTTTCCTGCTTGCCTCTTCTTAGGTTGGCCCAGCACATCACCTATGTGCACCAGCATAGCCGGCAGCCCCCTGCCCAGTTCGAGCCTTTGAACATGAAGCTTATGAGGTAGGAGAGCTGGGTAAGGACCTTACGTACTTTACCACCCCAAGTGTCGAGGTTCTGCGCCATGTGTGTGCGCTGAACAGCTTTCAGTCTTCGGGGGTATAGTTCTCACCACTGCTCTGTCCCCTTCTACCACTGTCTTGGCTCTGAGGATATAAGTATAAGGCTAGGTTACTGTCTCCCTCACCCATATCCACAGTCCTAGCCTGGCCATACGAGCAGCACATGGCAGTAGAGCCTGCCTTTTACATGTCCACCAGCCACCCATCTCAGGATCGAGGCAGATTCTCATCTTGGGCAAAGCTGGGTCTCGCTCTGTGGATACTTGATAGCTCTATATTTTCTCTGTGGGGTCTGTCCAAGGGTCCCGTGATCCCTCAAGATTTACTTCCTCTTATACTCTTGAAGTGAAATGAAATACATTTTTGTTCCCTTTAGCCATGTTGTATGTTCAGGGGAGGGGACTTGACCATTTTCATGAGAAGTAGATTTGTCTTACGCAAAGGCCTTTTTTCTGAAAAGGAAATAATTTGAAATGCACCATTGGGAGAAACCCATCAGTGAGGTTTAAGCCAAGCAAATAGTTATCCACTAACTTGTTTTTCCTATGTTAAAATCACCCATCTCCCCTGCTTCACCAGGTTTTCTTACGTGGAACAGTTATGCAGAAAAAAACAGTCCCCATCTCCCTTTCCTGCTTTCCCACAAACCTTGTCTTCCACAGACGTTACATAGCTATGTGCCAGGAGAAGCAGCCCATGGTGCCGGAGTCCCTGGCTGACTATATCACAGCAGCTTATGTGGAGATGAGGCGTGAAGCCTGGGCAAGTAAGGATGCCACCTATACTTCCGCCCGGACCCTGCTGGCTATCCTGCGACTGTCCACTGCTCTGGTGAGTACCAGGCCTGTTCTGCCGGAGGGTGGTGTGTGCTGGCTTTCTGGGCAGCCTGCCTTAACTGGCCTCTCTGTCGTCTCCCCCTCGCACTCAGCCCTGCTGGGGCTAAAGTGCTGACAGTGCAGATAGCGGTCCTCTGAGCTACCGCACTGTGGGTACTTGCTGCTCCAGCAGGGCATGCGCAGCACCCTGAGGGGAAGGCCTTCTCGCTTCCCACACCTACAGCGGGGCGGATGGGTTAATTTCCCTCACTGTGTCCTAGATCTTGTGCTAGACACCTTCATTTTTGTCCTCACATCCTGGACCTTAGTCCTGGGGGCTCCAAAGTGCTGTTCGTGCAGGTAGTGTGATTGCCTGACCTACTGCTGAGCTAGCACTTCCCGAGCCCCAGGGACATGACCTCTGCCAATCACCTTCTTGGCTGAGCTCCCCAAGCTCCATCTGTCATGGTGGGGGAGCCCAGTGGAGTTCAGAAGCTCTCCCTCACAGGACAGCTGAACACCGGGACTGGCCAGTGTTGAGAGGCGGAGACTTGGGCAATTGCTGGACGCTGCCCTGGGCATTGCACTTGTCTCGGTCTGACAGTGCCGGCCCCACACTGCAGATGTTGGCGGGTGGGAAGGGTGCCTCCGCTTGTTTTGTGAGTAGGCAACACACGGGGTTCCTGACTTTGAGCAAGGGGGCACCCTGACTTTGTTCCATCCTGTCCTCCTGTTCCCATCTTTGCCTACCTTCCCCTTAGGCACGTCTGCGGATGGTGGACACAGTGGAGAAGGAAGATGTGAATGAAGCCATAAGGCTGATGGAGATGTCAAAGGACTCACTCCTGGGCGACAAGGGGCAGGCAGCAAGGTGAGTGGTTCAGTGAAGGATATCAGGAGTCACCTTTGAGCAGACCATTCATCCTTGGGGTGTCTGCATCACGTGCACATGACGCTGGCTTCAGTTCTAACACTGACCTCTGTTCTCTGGCGTGTTAGGTGTTCTTGTTTGTACCCTGACCTTTCACACCCACATTTGTTTTCTTCAGGACCCAGAGACCAGCCGATGTGATATTTGCCACTGTCCGTGAGTTGGTCTCAGAGGGCCAAAGTGTCCGCTTTTCCGAGGCAGAGCAGCGCTGCATCTCCCGTGGCTTCACACCTGCCCAGTTCCAGGCAGCTCTGGATGAGTATGAGGAGTTAAATGTCTGGCAGGTCAATAACGCTCGGACATGGATCACTTTTGTTTGATTCCAGCTTGCCTGAGACAGTGCGGTCTGCTCTGCATACGGTGCTCACCTGCCCCTTCCTTTAATGGTCTGATGATGCTCCTGAGGGAAACGTGCCTTGTGCTACACTTGATAGATTCCCTTTGCTAATAAAGTGTTTTAAAACAGGGTATTATGAGTTTTCATTAAGTCCTGTTACACAAAGACAGTGTTTAAGCTGCCACTCTGGTCCCCTCATTTTTACTGTACCTCATGCTCTTGGGGATACAGCTCTGGTATAAACCAGGCCAGTTCCTCTCCCATTTCTACATACTGAAATGCCTCCATAAGACCACTTCTTGACTTCTACCTACCTAATCTCTAACTCCCACTGTACAGCCTTGTGTAGGGTGTGATGAAAATGCAGGAACTTGAGGGTGGACTATGGAAGTCTGATACCCAGCCCAAGTGACTGCGTTTCATAGTCCCATGTTTGGCTCATGTGAAGACAGTCCACCTGATTGGACATGGGTCACCAAGTGGCAATGGCCTCCCAAACACAGGGCAGGTGTCAAGGAGAGCTGATAACAGATGCACATACCCCTGAGCAAGGCTGGAACTAAGGGCTTTTAAGATCTGAGGTGAGACACCTGTGCTACTTAACAGAGAGGGACAGAGCCTTTCGAAGGGGTGCTGAGGGGCTGTTACCCTTTTATTAATGACCAAGGTTTCTCCAGGAGTGTAGCACCCCTCCCCTCGAGGACAGTCATCAGACTCGTGTCATCCAAGTACCCTCAGAAGAAGAGCCCTCGCATGCGCCTGCCAATGCCTTGCCGATCATACAAGACGTTGAACTTGTTCACAAACTGGTTCATGGTGTTGCATGTTTTGGTGATGGTGCCAAGGTAGGCCATGAGCCCCACATCGTTGCATTGCTGGGAAGGAGCAGAAAGAACCAGTTTCCCTGGGAACACTTGAGTCCCATGTCCTGCATGCAACAGTGATGCATAAGCCCCACCTCCCCACCCTGGGTTATATACTCACATCATAAAAGTCTGTCTTGAACTTGTCTGTGCTGAGCACTGGGAGGCAGTGGCACAGAGCATAGGCCTCCCGCAGGATCTCATGATTAAAGGGGACCTCTCCTAAAGCCATAAAAAGGCTGCATTAACATGGATGCTGTCGCTTCCCCAGGAGGGAGATGAAAGTGGTGCCAGGGACACTTAACCTACCGGCTTCAGAGGCCTTGACATACTCCAAGATGAGCTTGACACGACTGTGCAGCATCTTAATTGCACTGTGTTGTGCTATCAGGTGTTCAGCCACTGTAAGGAGATGGACAGGCCAAGGCTGAGAAGGCATGGGGCCACATCTTCCACCCCCACTTCCAAAGAAGCCTCTCCAGGCTCCATTACCAGTAGAGTTCTCGCCACTGCCCGTGGCCGTCATTCGAGCCACGTGGTCTACACCAATGCGTTCAGCTTCCTCTGTGGCCAGAGTGTAGGTTAGCTCAGCAAACAGCATTGTGGCCTACATGGCACATAGGGAGAGTCAAAAGCAGGAAACACCAAGAGCAGGCTCTGAGGGTTGTTGAAGGGTAGGGTATTACCTCTCCATTGATTATGTCAATGACAGACTCAAAAACGCTGACGGGAAGCTGTAAAGGAGAGATAGGCAAGAGCTCTTAACATCAGAGGCACCCACGCCTATATTACATGCCAAAAAATAGGGCTTGGCCCTTTCACGTTAGATATTCTTAGCTTGTAAGACCCAGTCCAGTAGGGATTATCCCCATTTGACACATGAGGAAGATGCTGTATAGAGGTTAAATGACTAACCCAGAGTCACAAAGCTGGTAAGCTGCCGAATGGAGATTCAACTCCACAGAGATGTCATGCAGTGAAAGACAGCAGGGGATGAAGGTAGAAGAGGCATGGTGCTAGACAAGCACTGAACTGTGAGGTCAGTGTTACTTACGTCTGTGTGCTTCGTCATGGGATTCAATTTAAGAAAGAGGGGGCTCTCGATTATCTCGCACACCTGTTAGAGGGGACGATGGACATGACTTTCTTCCCCTCCTTTTCTCTGCCCCAGCATGCACACGTGTAAGCATGTATACCTGCTTATGGACGTGGATGTCGGAGGAGTCAGGTGGACCCCCTGTGGTATACCAACCCAGAAACTCCAGCTCCTTGAATACCTGTTTAACTGAAGAGGAAGGAGTCAGAGCGTATTATTTCTTTAAACCATCCTTCCTTAATTGTAAGCTCCTGGCGTGTGTTTTCCCCAATTTCTCTCCTCCCAAATCCCGGCTCAATTTAATTGATCCTTCTTGTCTTCTCTCATCCTCTACCTTCTTTGGGGAATACTACTCAATGTAATCTCTTCAGCTACTCTCTCTCCTCACTGTTCTTGACCTAGTCTTCTCTCTCTTCCCAACCCTCTCCAGCTTCCCCATTCCGCTGGTTTTTAACTTCCACTTCTCTCCCCCACCTCCATTCCCCTCTCACACTGCTCCTCCTTGGTGTAATAATATTCCTTGTCAATGATAATCTTCTCTTCCACGGTGTGGGACAGCAGCTCAAAGGAGTTCATCACCTCGATATTTCGGCCTTCCTGCTTCCCGATCAGAGCCCCAATCACTAGGGGAGAGCAGGACACAGGAGAGGTGAGAATAGGGAATCCCGAAACTTCTCCCCAATCATAGGAAAACAACTCAGGAGGGTCTGCGGTCGGTGTGAACCAAGTCCTGGGGAAACGGTGACTCGGGGAAGGGGAACTGGCCTCAGGAAAAGAAGGGGAAAGACCACTGTTTGGAGGACGTGACCAAGGAGAGAAGGTCGGAGAATTCGGCCATTCACTCACCCTGCACAGGCCGCCCCTCCTGCGAGCGCATGCGAATCCAGTGGTCTGAGATGTTGAGAATGACCAGGGGATGAAGAGCGACCGAAACACTCCCCGTCACTCCGGAGGCCATCACGCTGGGGACTACTAAGGGTGGAGGAAAAGCAGGGAGGGTGAGTCCGGGCCCCACGTTCTTCCCTGGGGACGCGGGGCTGAAGACACACATCCCTCCCGCAAGTTATCCCCAGGAGCGGCGCTGGCGTCCCGCCCTCCCGACGTCTCCCTGGAGCCCAGAGAGGGCTGGGCGCATGCCGAAGGGCGTCTCCAGGAGCCGCCTCCGCGGGGCCCGTTACCTGCAGCATCCACCTCCATCCCGCTGCTCCCTCCGGTCCCGTTCGCCGCCGCCGCCATTTTCCCCGCGCCGGCCAGCCTCGGCCCCGTAGCCCCTCCCGGCTGCCGTACGGCCCGCCGCGCAAGCTCAGTGTCCTCGGGCGCGCGCCCGGCGGGGCAGGGAAGCGCGGGAACGTGAGAAGCCCGGAAGCGAGCGATTTACGGCGACCGTGGTCCCGCCCCTGCCCTGCTGCTGACCTAGAACTAATTTTAATCCCGTCCCGCCCCAATCTCATCAACCCTGTGGGTAGAACTGGGATAAAGCTGACTGCCTACTCCCAAGACGGTGGCAGAATGAATGAAAAATCGTGTTAGTGCTCTGAAGTAAAGCCCAAGCTCTTCCCACGACCTGCAAGGCCCTGCGTGGTCCGGCCCTGTCGGCCAGCCGGCCTGGCCTCTGCTTTTCTGCCCCTATTTCTCCGTGCTTCATCCACACCGGCCCTCAGGTCTGTTGCCTTCACACGCCCCACTGACTCCCACACCAGGGCTTTCAGTCTTCAACACTGTGTCCCCTGGGACCAACACGGTACCTGACATAGGGGCACCTAAATAATTTCTGAGTGAATAAATGAATAACTCGATTACCTGCAGTTCTAGCAACTTCCCCAGCATTTCCTGACTACTTTTAGCCTCCCTCCGCGCTCCATCAGTCTTTCATAACTCAAACAGTCCACTCTGGCAAACAGCCCACTCCAGCCTCTCCCCACCCCTGCACCCAAGCAAGTTGTGTACACTGTCCTTTCTTGTTGTCCCCACAGTTAGGCTGGCTGGCTCTTTTGGCATGTGATTGTTCAGCACCCAAAGTGTAAGCTCCTTGAAAGCAGGTAGAGACCTGAGTCTTGACCCTGCAGAGCCTTCTCTGGTGCCCAGAACTCACAGGTACCAGGAGATGTTTTGTGGTGATAATGTTGATGTACGTAAAATTTAAGCAACCTCTCCATTTAAGAGCCTGGATGAAGGGAAGTTGAAGGGCCAGCAACCCTCAAGAAATGCAGAGAGAAAGGTCATCTGTCCAAGGGGAAGTTAAGAAAGAGTTTATCTCATTCTAATCCCTAGTGAAAAGCCTGCCAGCCCACTGAGAGAATTAAGGAAGAAAACCATATATGTCTTAGGAAAAACGAAGTCAGAAATATACAGTATATCTCTTATACATGGTAGACAGCGTCTAAGGAGTATAATGTTTCTCAGCTAGATAGAAAGCTAAAATAAAGACAAGAACTAGACTGGTGTTAATAAAGTTGATAGCTTGCTTGGTTGCTTCTCACATTAAAGACCTTCTTTGTCTTTTTGTTGTTTTGACCACTTTTGAAACCTTCAGATAATTACACAACTCATTAAACAGTGGCTATTGTGAAATTTAAGGACGACTTTGAAATTGAGCCTGTTGATTATACATGCTTTGGAAGTAAGCTCAATGAGCTTTTCTTAAAAGTGCATTCTATGTAAAAACTACCAAAAACCCTCAAGTCGAAATTCTTGTGTTAGGACAACAATTCCACTGCTCTCTTCCTACCTTCCCACAAAACTAAACACAGTGCATCACTTTGTTGCTTGGTTAACTGTTCCTTCCACAGGGTGGAGGTGACCAGTCCGGTGGGGAACAGAGAGGGGGTGTGCTCTGACAGTCTGCAAAGAGAAGCCACTGAGGTACAGCATGGCAACTTCAGTTAACAATACTACGTTACTATTTGCAAGTTGCTAGGAGAGTAGGTATTAAACTATAATTTATGATATATGTTGCCTATTTGAAAGTTGCCAAGAGAGAAAGGAAGGAAGGAAGAAAAAAAGACATCCCTCTGGAGCTCAGCCCGGGTTCCCGTCCCCACGTACCCCCTCACCTAGCTGCCCTGGACAGGGCATGCATATCCTGCAAGTCCTGGTTGGTTTCAGAATACATTTTGAAAGTAGAGTCTATAGGATTTGCTGACCCAGCACATGAATTTATATCAGTCACTTTGAAACAAGACAGGGAGGGCCGTGTTCGTGTTGAAGTGTTTCCATCCATGGTGCCAGGTTCAGATAGCTCAGGACTAGCAAATGCAGCGGGGGCCACCTGCCAGCCAAAGCTGCTGCTTAACTCATGCAGACCAAAGGATGGTCTCGCCAGGCTGCGGTGCTGCTGATTTACACGACAAAGAGTAGTAAGTGATCTTCCCCCATTCCTGCACCTCCAGGGGCTAAGGTGCTCCCGCTTCAGGTGCTGGGGGTGTTGCTCTCCTTCCATGGCCACAAAATTGCTGTGTCACATCCTAGTAGCTATGAGTTTTCCTTTTTTCCAATTATCCCCTATTTGTTCCAACTGTCCCCTATTTGCAGACCTTTGTTGAGAAGGGTCAGGTGTAAGATAGGGCATTTTTACAAAATTTGTACAAAGACCCATTACACCATTCACCCTAGCACATGTATTTGTTTCCTTCTGGTGCTCTAATAAATTACCACACTTCATGGCTTGAAACGTCAGAAATTTATTGTCTTACAGTTCTGGAGGTCAAAAATCTGAAACAGTTTTCTCTGGTCTGGAACCAAGACCTGCAGGGCCACGTTCCCTCTAAGCAAGGATCACTTTGACGTCTTTTCCACCTTCTAGAGCCACACTCCTCACACTCCTTGGCTCACGGTCTCTTCCTTATCTTTAAATACAGTACATCAGCAGCACCTTCAAATCCCTTTGTCCCTCTGTTCCCATTGTCACAGTGCCTTCTGTAGTGATAAAATCTCCCCCTGCCTCCCTCTTACAAAGATACTTGGATCATGTGTAGTGCCTGCTGGGATGACCCTGGATAATCTCCCCATCTGAAGATCCTTAACTTAATCATGATTATCTGCAACATCCTTTTTCCCCTATAAGGTCACATTCGCAGGGTTGAAGATTAGGACCTGGGTATGTTTGGGGACTGTTGTCCAGCCTGCCGCAGCATGTACAGTCACAGCAGGGGAGCTGCAGCACAGTGTCCTCAAGGGGTTATTTTATTTGTGATCTAGAACCACTTCAATACAACAAGAGAATCCTGTTGGACCAGAATCACAGTGGAATTCCCTAGGCTGTCTTTTGGCTGGGCTGTACCCAGAGGGTCGGCCAACCAGGATGGCCTGGGGTAGCCATTAGGAGAAGAAAAGCATCGTACAAAAGAATACTCAGTGCAGAATCTTTAATTTTAAAAATGAAGAGTCTGTACCCCATTTCATCCTGTTCATTACTCAAGAAATGGCTGACTGAGAGGAGATTAATGCTTTCAGGGGATGGCCACATCCCTGATGATGGCAGTGACCAGGCTGCCCTGTTAAGGTGTGTGGACTGGACAAGGTGACAGAAGTAGAGCAGACTTGGAGGAGGCCATCCCAGCACTTGGCACTCAGACCCTGTGGATGGTAGGGAGTGTGGAACATCCATGCAACGCCTTGACTGCTGGCCTGTTGTTGAGTGGCTTTCAGGACAAAAGGCATACCAATGTTGGACTGTAGATGGTCAGCAAAACCTAAAACATGACACAGTTTAGTTTCAAGAGCCATAATGGTGTGATCTGTGTCAGGAGATCATCCTGGAACAGGGACACTGGCACCAACAGAGCCCCTCAAGGGTGTCAAAGGTCTGATGGAGCCCATTAGGAGGAATGGGAGAGGGCTTCTAGGTGGTATGGGCTTGATCAGCAGCTTGGTGAGACCGGGTGCCCACTGTGGGCATCCACACGAGTGACCGACTGTCAGAGAGGAGGTGTGTTGCCATTGTTCACTGCCCCAAAGGCTGTGTCCTTAATTTTTCATATCTGTCATCTTCCAAGGGGGTGAACCAAGCTGCCAGGTCATTGGCTAACAGCCCAGATCAATAAAATGTAACTAGGCTCAACAAGGTTCACCAAGCCAGCCAGCTGTGATGAGAATGGCCTTGAGCTCTGCCCACTGAGCAGAATAGTGACATCTGCTTTCCACCTTATGTAGCTGACCTTGAGGCTGGGTGTCAGCAGCCATCCCGTGGACCCCATCAGGTCTCACCTCATCTAAGCCATCAGCGAGCCAAGCCCCAGCCTTTAGGGGAACTCCTGACACTTGAGGGCCCCCAACCCACGTCTCTGCTTTGGGGAGTTTCTTCTAAAGCAGTAACTGACACTTTTTCATGTAAACCCCTCTAGGCTGGCTATGCTCTTAAACATACCATTTATATTTGACTAGTATGGCCTTTTAGGTTCTTCTCATCTTTTTAATGGTCAAGTTCGTCTTGATTCACCCCAAAATAGGGGCATCAAGCCCGAGAGTTTTGAGCTCCCCGAGTCTGGAGTTCTTCAGTAGCAGGTATACCTGGCTGAGCCCAGCAGGTGGCGCTGTTGCACCAAGAAACGGCCTCTGAACGCTGGCTGCAATCAGGTTTTAACACAGCTGAGACTTCCCTTTCTCTGTTTTGCATTCTTTTATTGTTTTGGGGGGACCATCGAGGGGAGGGAAGAGAGGCGGATTGCAGAGTGATCCGTGCGTCCCACTGTTACCTTCTACATGCAGCAGTCTCTGAATGGGAAAATCCCCTCTAACATTTAAGGTACTAGAAGTGTAAGCCTATCAATTCCTTCTATACATTCAAGGACAGAGCAGCAAAGACACTGGGCCTCACACAAGATTTCCACTGTAAACCTTGTCTACACCCATCAGTTGAATTAAGACCTGTCTTCTCTTACAAGAACAAGGCGGGGGCTACTATGCCAACCAGCAGGAGACCTGGCTAATCCTCTGGGCTGAGGGTGCAGGGCAGAGGGGGAAAGCCAGCCGGCAGGGCATGGTGGAGGCACAGAGGGAAATTTAACTGTCAGCCTATTTCCTTCCTTGGCCCTGCCCTCCAGGACCGGCACCAACAGTTCAGCACTGCCTCCCCCCTCATGGGGAGGGTAGCAACTCCTGGTAGTCTGTAAATGCCCCAGCCCAGGGGTCCATTTCTTTCTGCACACACTGCATTTCACCCTGCAGCCCCTGGCCCTGAGGCCACCCTGTGCCCAGCACCTTGTCTGTTCTGTCAGCTCATCTCGGCTGTTAGCAGTGTCTTGCCAGTGGGTTTCAGCCCTGGACAAGTTCACTATGGATTCAATGAGACCGATGAATGATAATGGAACGTTCTTGGGGTGAAAGGGTTTATACCCAACTTTATCCCCATAGTGGCTGGTCAATCACTAGAATCCCATCCACTCAGAGCGAGTCTGCATGCAGCAAGCCCATCTCTGCCTCTGGACCTCTCTTCCCCAGCAGCCGTCTCAGTCTGTCCTCGGCGCTGCCACCACTCCAACCTCTGCTCTCCTGCAGCCAAGCAGCCCTGCCACCGTGTCACCCAGAGCACTGAGTGGAACTCTTTATATATAGAGTCAATAACAACGGTCTCAGCCTCTGCCCTAGGGCGCCACCACTAGAGGCTCTGTCTCTGTCCAAGGCTCTGCTCTTGCCTCCAGCCTCTGCTCTCCCACAGCCTTGCCCCAAGAGCACTGGGCAGAGCCCTTTAATATAGCAGCACAGTCAGTAATAGTGGATTATCAACACGTGTGCCAGCAGCATCTGCCAGCACTGCACGTGCGCAGTGGGCAAGTAGCTTATGGCCAGGTGAGGGTTCTGGCCATGGTAACTTCAATTTTCCCGACACCTTGTTATTGGGTGAGACCTGGACAGGTCTCCAAGTCCGTCGCTTCTGGCAGTGCCCCATGCTGGCAGGAAGAGAGGATGAGCTGACCAGCTGTAGCTCACAGAAGCCTGGGCCCAGGGGCTGACCTCCAGTACGGTCCTGTAATCCACGATGAGCTTAGTCATCAGTGGGCAGTCCACTGCTTGTGGGCACTTTCTCCACCCAAACCACTACAGTCACCGTCTCTCTCACACACACACCCAATACCATTAAAGCAGACACACCATCACCATCACCGTCAGACTCTATGCACACACACACACATCTCCCAGCTCTTTATCTGGTCTGAGAGTGGATAAGGTGTTCATTCTTCTTTAAGGGCTGGAGGTGGCCAGGAGAGTTTAATCTGTAAATAAACCATCATTAATTTTCTCATTGATTAAGTCTCTGTAGGGGCACAAAGATAAATCGATCCATGTGCCTCTACCCTAAGAGTAACTCTCAAGAAAAAGAGAGCGAGGAATGTCGCAGGAACCAGCGGACTCTGAGTTGGTCCCAATGCACTGAGGGTCAAAAAATTTCTCCCCAACCTCTGAATCAGGTGCCATGAGCTCTTGTGTCTGCTATGAAATTTCCCATACTGACCCTGTCTACCTGTTTCTGTGGTGACCCTAAAACCACACAGCCCACTGGGCCACTGAGTGCCCAGAATGTCTCTACTCACTGTAACTCATAGGAGGCAGCCCAGGCCTGGGCCACTTGGTGGGAACCCCCATCTCCACAACCCTGCCACTCCCCTCTCACCCTGCCTCCTGCCTGACACAAAATCAATGCTCTTTGGTTTGATTTATCTCAACTTCCTGATCTCTAATCGAACCTAGTAGGTATAAACATCATAGCCATATCAGGTGTAGCTGTAGAAGATAAAACTTAGCTGTATTTTCATCTGAACAGCTTGCAGGAGCTGGTCACGACCCCATGGCTACAAGTTTGCTTGGTGAACAAGCGGCAGTGTAAATAGATGGACCGCAGCCAGTGGGAACCACTCCTGGATATAAAAGTGTATTTCCACCCTTCCTGTAGCCTTAGGGAAGCCTCATTATAGACTAGAAGGTGTGGCTGAGCCCCTAATTTTGCCTTCAAAATTAGTACCCTGGGTCCTTTGTGCATGCTCATGAGGAAGAGGAAGGGTTTCCAGCTCAGAGGGGAGAACCTGGATCGGATGCTTCCCATGCAGTCCCATCAGCATGCCCTGCCTTTAGATTCCTCAGGCTCCCTGCCGTTACTTTCCCTGGAGTTCATCTGGAGAGATGGGACTGTACAGGCTGACAGAGCACTGGACTGCAGCACTAACAACTCCGTGGCACCCTGAACATCTGGCTGTTGCACTTATTCTGGATGCCCGGGAGCTGCTGTTGCCCACCATGGGGACTTGCCTTGTAAAGGGGGTGATCTGGAGGAATTAGCACAGCAGTTATGCCCAAAAAGGTAAGGATGATGAGGCCTCTCTTATTCCATGGCTTGCAGAGAATTCCATCCCCATACATATGAAAGAGAACCAGAGAATCATGCATCCACTTCCAATAACAACTAAAAACTACCTGGAGTGTCCCAATTCAGTTTGGGATCCACATAGATCCCCATCACAAGACTCATGCCTGCAGAGCTATACTAGGATGGCTGCATGTCCTGTCTGTCCCTATCCACGGCTTCAGCCTGCTCCCACATTGCATGTCCAGGGCTTCCCAAGTATTTAGATGCACATCTTGAGATACCTCTCATGCCAACCTCACATTTTAGCTCCTTATGCATTGTTCTTTCTTGTCTCTGGGCCTTTGCACTGGCTGTTCTTCTGCCTAGAGCAGAGGGACACTCTCACTGGCTTGCATCACTTCTGGAAAACCTCTCCTCCCCACTGGGCCCTGCTCTTTGCCACCTTTCATAATACATATCATAGTTAAGTGAAATTGGTTATTTAGTGTCCTCAGACTGAAGTCACCAGACAGTAAGTTCTGGATCTGGTGCATTTGCAGAACTGACTCGGTGCATTACAAATATAGGACACAGTAAAAATCAAGACCAAATAGGATGCAGAGCTATCTGGGGCATCAGGAGGACCCTTGTTACTCAGGATATTGCCAGATTGCATTTCACATACACTCCATAAGGGTTTGATTCTGACACGTACAGGGTTTCTCCCATGAGGGCATAAGTGAGTGAGCCATAAAGCCTCGCCCTCATTCCCTCAAACATCTCACAGCAGCTTCACCTGTAACGTCCCTGGATTCTCTGGCTCCCAGCACTTGCAGAGGTTTTGTCCTTACACGGACATGCTGATGGGCTGGCAAGTTTTCTTCTGATTTTAGTAATTTAAAGGGGGCCTTTTTACGTGATACAAACACCAAAGATGGCTTGCTTGGCAGCATAAACTTGGATTACTTGGAGATTTCAAATAAGGGCATATTTTTTTTACATTAATTAATCTTTATGTAGAGCAGGGACATGGGACAGCAACATGATTAATTTTTTCTGCCTGTGATAAAAAATGCCAAGATATAAACAGTATAGTAAGAACAGGAGGGACTCCATCTTAAGGCTAATATTCCATTTTAAAAAGCAGGGAGTAAGGAGGTAACATTCCTAACGTATTTTATGGTGATTAGCATAGAACCAACCATATTGCAAGGCAGGGCATGTAGTCCTAAATGATATGTCTCCACTGCTTGAGGGTAACCACTATCTTGAAGAACAGGATCAGTAAATTCCTTGTGTTAAGTTTATTTGACAGAGTATCTAGAGGACTATGGATGGTGACATGTCTCTCACCAGAGATAAGACATCATGAGACCACAAGTCAAGCCTACAGTCCTTGGCCTTTTACCCCATTCTTGAAATCCTTAAAAGACACTATTCCTAAGCCTTTAAGCACACGTTCTTTCTGAGGCTGCCCGCACTCCCCTCTCTTCAAGTGTGTACTTTGCCTTAAATAAAGACTTCTTGCCATTCAACTTCATGCATTTTGCCTCTGAGCTCTTCCAAGTCCCTTGGGAGATTAATTAAAAGACCCCTTTTCCCAGTGGTAAGCATGTTTGTTATTTCACGATTTCATTCAATTTTCTGGACGTAAGCACAAGTCTTCACTCTCTCTGTTCTACTTCAGACAAGCAGGCTATTGAGAGCTCTGAGAGCTCTGACTTGGGCTTGCCAGTTCCTGTAGCCTGGGTGACCCGGATGGGACGGCAGCTGAATGATCATGCTCTTTGGTAGCCTGCCTGAAAACCTCCTTTCTTTGCCTTTGGGAAGTTCTTAGAACATAATCTCACTCCATCCAGTGCTCTGTGGCTCCCCCAAATCCTGGGGTGGTAGGGACTTAGTTGCTACGCTGTGCAGATTCAAGAGGACACTGGACACCAGGTGACCCTGGCTTCAGGAGTTGGCAAGGGATCTGCCCTATGCGGAGCAGTTCAGTGAGCTTCCCTTTCCTCCCTCTGTTCTTGCTCTCTGCTGCCTACACGCCTGCTGCCATTCACTACTACTCTCGCTTTAATGAACTTCTTCCTTACGTATACTTGTCTCACCCATTCCTGAATTTTCTCTATCAGAGTCAAGAACCTTCTCCCATACACACGTTGAGGTTTCTTTTCAATTAGTGTTGAAGGAGGGGCCTAGTGCTCAACATGGATTTTCAGCTTAGCTTGGTATAAATCCTTTTACCCCCAACTTCTAATGTCCTCCTATTTGCCGGTCTCTCCTCTGTCCTCTGAGGAGCACGGGTAGGACGGATGCCCCTGCCCCCAAAACACATAAGCCCCTCCCCACGCTCCGCCCACCCAAAACCGACCGCTGGAACCCCCGCAATGCCAAACCCTGCTCCGGGCCAGCGGCGCCCGAGCATGCGCCCTGCTGTCCGGGGGCCGAGGGGGAAGCGGCTAGTGTAAGGCCCCAGCGCCGCCACTGTGCTAGGCCCCGAGTCAGCAAACCACCGAGAGGCCAAGACCTCCCACTTTCCTAGAGAGAACAAGAGGGATTGGGGGACACGGGGGGTGGGGTGGGTGGTGAAAAACACCGACCTGGAAGCGAAACGGAGAGAACTTCCGTTCTTTGTTCTATCCCGGTGTGTGGGTCTGTGACAGGTTCCAACAGGGCCTGGTCCGTGGCCGGGCCCCCACATCTTCCGTCCCTATCCCCAGGGTGAGTCCGGCTGCCCCCGGGGCTCGCGGTGAAGACAGAGGCTGAGGTCGTCAGGGAAGAGGGTGGTGTCTGTGCCGCTTGGACCCGCGGGGTCTCCAGGCCCTCCCGGAGCAGGTGCCGGGGCGCGCTTCTTCCTCCCCGCCGCCGGTCCCCGACTCCACTTCCCCAGGGACCGCCCCCGTCCCCCAACTCCGACCCTGGATCGGGACCCTGCGAGGAGGGGAGGAAACGGACTCCGGTTCTGATTTTGTGACTTAAACAGAGCCCAGTGCGAGCACTTAAAAAGTTCCAGGGATAGCGGTAGAGGGATCTTGTAAAACAGCTGATGACAGCGACTCTAACTTGGTAGTTCTCGGAGACGGTTCTCTTTACATTTACTCGCGCTCGTGGCAGGAGAGGCCTGTACTTACTTAGCTGGGTCCGAGGATCTGAGAGTGAGGAGTTCTACGAAGTGTGCGTAGTTAGTACTAGTCTTAGAGGGGCGCAAATTTAGAGTCCGGGAATAATTCCGGTGGCGCCCAGTGAATGGAGTCTTCTACGGAGAGCGGTACAGCTGTGTGTGGCTCCCGATTACAATTGTATTACATCCCAGATTCGATCTGCTTTTGAAGTGGGGTGGAACACAGGTGTTCACGCTCTGAAGGGCATGCGTAAACTGCACGAAAATGTAAGCAGGATGATAAACCAGAAACCCATGGAACAATTAGAAGAACTAAAGATATTTATCCCCAATAAGAGAAGTTTGTGGAGACTGGGCGTCATTTGGTTTCAAATGTTTGATGAACAGTTGTGTGGAAGGAGAAGATTCCATCACTGAAGCCTCATAGGGCACTAGGCCTCTGAGATGAAGGTCCACGGGGATAGATTTTCAGTGTAGCATCTGAAGATCTCAGAGGGCTAAGCTGTGCAACCATGGAACAGACTTCCTACTGAAGTAGTTGAGAGCATCTAGCAAGGTAGCTGACAGAAGGTTGGAAACTTGAGAAGGCATTTCTTACCCTGGGTGGGAGGTTGGCCTGGGGAAACTCCAGTTCCCCTGCCCTCTTTCCAGGGGTGTGGTGCAAATACTGGTTGTACTCTTAGTATTTATTAGCGTATGTCCCCTCTTTTTTTTTTTTTCCTTTCTACCTACAGTAAAATTGAAGTTTACATGAGTATTTTAATTTTTTTTCCATAATCATATAGCATTGGCATCAGTTAAAGTCAGAATTCCAAGAAACTTGAACAGGCCGCCAGATTCCTAATAACCGCTACTCAGGTCTTATAGGAACTAACTCCAAAGAAGGGAAGAAGGAATCCAGCAGGTAAAGCTTTCCATGACTCGTTCTCACTGCCAGGTCTTTTTTTCTCAGTCCCCAAGAACTTCAGGGAGAGGGTTCAGCAGCTGAGCAGGGGAAGGACCCTGCCTGGACCTGAAGCTGTGGGGGCACAATGGAGATTTTGTTTTCTATAAGAAACATTGTTTACTGAACCAGACACTGGGGACTTATTCTTGACAGTATGCCTTTGAGGCCCAGCTTTGGCTGACACAGCTATGAGGAGGGAGTGTTGATCTTTTTCTGTGGGGTCAGAGGCTCTGACTTACCTTTCTAATGAGAGTTTGGACTGGACTGTGAGCTGATTTGTTGGGGGTGTCTGCTTATAAACAGTCCTGGAAATTGAAAGTTGGTTTATAGGAACAAATAGATGGCTGGTTCTGAGACAGTTGAAGGGTGATGGTGGGAAGAGCATGTGTCACATTGATTGCCAGCGGGCCTGGCTCACGTCCAGGCAGGTTCTTTCTCTATGTAATGACATCGTTGGTGGGCATTCTGTGCCCCTTTGTGACTCTCAGACAGGACCCCTCCCCTTTTTATGCATTAATATGAATGCAACAATTTGCAGTAATGAAGCAAATACTTTTGCACTGCTGTTTTTTTTTACTCCTTCCAACATTATTGGTACAGTTGCACTAGAGTTGGCACTCAACAAATGATTGTTATGTGAGCAACTAAATAAAGGGAGGTAGACAAACTAAGGGCTTTTTCGTTTGCTCTTACATAAATGTAAGGAATATCTGATGGCTGCTGCACCTATTCTGGATATGTTGATTCTTGCCTCAGCCTTCAAGTGTGAAGCAGAAACTTCTTGAGATCAAACCTCAGTCTAGGTCCTTCTGTTTATTCACTAGAGTGTCAAAGAACAAAGCTTTTTTGATTATCATAACAACTGAGGAATGGAGACATTAGGAGGGATAAAAACAGTAGTTAAGTAATCTTAAGTTTAAAAAAAAATATTGGTCTCTGTTTTAGGAACTTACATTTCCAAGGAAATTTATTAGAGAAGGGAGATTGAAACAAAGGCTGACGGCTGACTTCTCAGTAAGAGGAAACACTCCCCCAAGGACCATATAAAGGCCCAAGTTGCTCAGAAATACCCCATCTTTCACTGAGACTGGGAGCAGAAAACTACCTTAGAAAGAAAGAAAGGAAGAATTTATCCTATTTAATTTGATGAATCTGAGCCATTTGCCCTAGTTAAGTGAGACAGGGTGGTTTCTCCAAGATTTTTAAAATGAGAACTCATGGAAAGTTTCTCTGCTCTCTGTTAGGTGGGTGCTATTTCATGGCCCCTTTTCCTCTAAAGATAACACCTGAATTTAATGTAGCAGCTACACACCTAAGAAGGTAAGATTTTTTTTTTCTCCTACTAATTCTGTTTATGAGGGTTTTTTCAAAATCTGTAAACTGCTTTATTCATTATCCCAAATATTCTTAAAAGTTGATGTATGCCACATATAAATTCTGCAATATGTATGTGTACACACTCTTTTTCACTTTACTCTGATATTTTTGAATTCAATAGTTGCTTAGTATTTCATCCCGTTAGTATGATTATTCGGCATCAGTGTTGGGGGAGCCACAGGTGGGATGTCGCCAAGGAACTCGGGCCCTTTTGGGGTTCTCACACAGTCTTGTTGCAGGGAGCAGGTGTGTATCTTCACCAGGATCTGGAAGACTGGACCCAGTTGCTGTGTTTCCTATTGCAGTTCTTGTTTAGTAACTGAAATGCTAGGTCCCCTCTTTCTGTATTCAGGTGTTTTTTATTTTTTATTTTAAATCATTGAACCTTGAACTTTTGGTTCTACAGTGCTTCCTCGTTTTCATTCAAAAACTTGCTGAGTCTGCAACTGGGAGGCCAGAGGCCAGAGCTTCAAGCCCCACCCATGGAAACTCAGGCCAGTCGTGTATCTCAGGAACCTCAGGCCCTGCTTGAGAGTAGTAAGTCATAGGTTTTCATTCATTCTTATTTAGTCATTCAGCAATCTTCTGTTGAAACTCTTACTCATCAGGTGCTAGGCCAACCTCTAGAATCCACATGTGGCTAAGACACAGTCCTTGCCATTCAGTAGCTGATAGCCTGATGGGGAACGCTGACTGGCACCCATAATTAATGTATAGCTCGATAGGTTTTATAGCTGAGGCATTTTGAAGGGCTGTGGGTGCCTCATGCAGGATTGAGAAACAGGATCACTGGGTTCCATTTTCCAGGTGTTCTGTGAGAGCTGGCTTCACAATCCTAGTTTGTGTTCTTTAGGGACGTGCGCTTAGATGAGGCTTTTGGGAATCGCTTTGTAGGCCACGGGCGAAAGGTAAAGTGGATAAAAGGTGCTGAAGCATTGGTACTTTGGTTTCATAGACTGTACCCCTGACTTTGGAGCCAGTTTCAGTCCTAAAGGGTGTTATTCCCATGCTTACCAGGAAAAAGCACTTATGGACCTTTTTCTCTGGGTGATTCTGCAGAATCTATTATTTCTAGGGGTTTAGGGTCTCTAAGGGACAGAAAGGTTAAGAATTACAGAAGATGTGCACTCAAGCACAGCACCAGGAAACATCTGTAGTAAAGAGATGGGAGCTGGGGTTGGAGGAAAAGGAGAAAAGTTACAGGCATCCTGGCTTCAGTCAGGGTTGGGGTGACACTGCTAGTTTTCCTATGGTCTGAGAGAACTTCATGCAGGAGTTTGAGTTCAGGGATCTAGAGAACGGTGAGCAGGAGAGCCAGTGTTTCTGTCCTGCTTTGGGCGGATGGACAGGAATCCACTAGTGCCCTATGGTGGCACTGGGCATGTTCATTGAGAATAGAGTGACTGGAGAGAGGAGGAGCCTGGGGCAGAGTGGAGAGGGGGCAGTCACAGGCTTTGGGACAGCTCCGTCAGGCAGGGGACCTCGCTCACCACATGTGGGTGTTGTGAGCACCTTTAGTGGCTGCAGAGGAAGTGACCCTGGAAGTAGTGTAAGAAGGAGTGGGGCCTTGGTTGTCTCAGACACTGTGAGTTTCTGCAGATTGGGAGACCAGAATGCAGGCAACCTCACTCATGGACCCTTTCACTATCTTTAAGCTCTTCCTTCCTCAGAATTTCCTGCATTTTCCAACAAGGACAGCCTGGGGGATGAGATGTTGGCAGCTGCACTCCTAAAGGCCAAGTCCCAGGTGAGCCTTCTTTTCCTCCCATCTTCTGGAAATATTTTGTGTGGCAACATACCCCACAGTGCCCTAAACCATGATTCCCTCCATCCAGATGATGGTCCTTTTCTACTGAATAGTGGATCTTAACTTTCTATCTTGGACTCTCATCTCCTCCTCCTCCATCCTTTCCCTCCACTTCCCAAATGTGTATTATTTAACCCCATCCCGAGTTATGTCTCTGGTGCTGCCAGTCCCATCCCTTACCCTGAAATTGCATGGAAGAACGTGTCATTGCAGGAGTTGGTGACCTTTGAGGACGTGGCTGTGTACTTCATCCGGAAGGAGTGGAAGCGTTTGGAGCCTGCTCAGCAGGACCTCTACAGGGATGTGATGCTGGAGAACTATGGGAACGTGTTCTCACTGGGTAAGAGTTAGGCTTTCTCAGGAAAATTTCCTTGTCATTTCTTTATATTCTTGGTTGCTAGTAACAGTTGAGTCACTGAAAATAATTAGCTGAGGACTGACTTAGTCCAAGAAAATTCTAACAACAGTAAAGATAATATCTCCATTTGTATAGTAATTTGTAGTTTATAAAGGGCTTTCACGTCTACTGTCTTGGTAGGTTCTCACAGTAACACAGCAGTTGAGGTACTCGGGTTCCCATAGTGCAGGTGAGGAAAGAGAAGTCAGGTTGTAAGTGCTTTACGTGTGTTCGTACAGCTAGCAGGTGGCAGAACTCGAGCCCTGGTCTTTGAACTCCAAGTCTGGTACCTTTTCCCATGTTATTCTTACCATATAATCTGGAGACCTTCCCAAAAGATTAGCATATTGGGATCCTTAACTGCAGGAGGTGCTGCTCTGTGCTCAAGGGGACATGCTAAGACTCACCCTCCCGTCTCTGCTGGACCACCTCAAGGGCCCTGTCACTCTGCTCAGGACCTACTGCAGGTGTAGCTGCTGCTCCTGTCGAAATTTTGTCCTGTTTTAGGGAGCATTTCCTTCTTAACCTTTAGTCTGTGGATTGTTAATTCCTCGTCTCTCACCCACTTGCAGCAATGATGTTTTCCTGAGCGGTGCCAGGGACATCTTCCTAACTCCCATTTGAGACCTCCCTGTACATTTCCTTTCTGTCCCCTGCAGGTCCCAGGTCTGGGCTTGAGCTCTGGGACCACTCAGTCAGAACAAGATAAACCTTATCCCTGTCTTTCTCCAAGAGCAGGATTCCCATTTCTGAATTTTGACATGATCTCTGGGCCACAGTGACAGGAAGAGCCGAGGTCCTGGGCTTGAAGGGAACAGGGGGTTCCTGAGAGGTACCATTCATGTGGGGGAGAAGCACCTGTTCTGTCCCTAACACACATTGCCCTGTCTTTACTTCTTAAAGTATAGACAAACTGAAAATGCTATCTAGTAGAGCCCCTTCACTTATTCTCTGTGCCCTCAGAGCAGTGAAAGTAGAGATGTGGAACATGGAAGTTGTTTATATATCCTCACATCTTAGTGTAGACCTGTAGGCCTAGGGCCAGAGCTGGGTGGAGCTGCCTTGCCTGTTTCTGTGGATTTGGCATGTGTGGCACTACAGACGTGACTGACCCTTTCACCTGGGGCTGGGGGGTCCTAGGTGGCCTCACTCTCATAGCTTCCTCCTGCTCTGCTACTGTTTCTCAATGCCAGTCTCTGTTTTTTTTATATTTGCTCTCCCCTGTGATTGTTAAGGTGTTCTGGTCATCACTACCTCCCCAGTTTTATCTACAGTCTGATCTTGCTGAGAACTTTGTCATTTCATTAAACATGTCCTATCTTTTCTGTTTTTGGTTCCCTGCCTTTGCCTGATCCATCTTCCTCTTCCTTATATATCCACGTTTCTCTATACTTCCAGCTCTTTTTCACTTTGATTTTGCTTCCTGCTTTTCTCCTTTCCTGTTTACTTGACCCAGTTCTCTCATTCTGCCTTGGCTGCACACAGCCTGGGCCTCTTTGCATACAGATAAGCATGTGCTTTTCTCCCTGTAAACATTAATCATGTGATTATCCTGTCCTCTGGTTTTGATTGTTTTTCCCACAGAAAACAAATGATGTTTATGTTTTGTATTGTGCCAGATGGTGAGACCAGAACTGAGCATGATCCAGAAATTTCTGAAGATACAGGATCACACAGGGTGCTATTGGGAAGATTCCAAAAGGATATTTCTCAGGGTCTTAAGTACAAAGAATCCTATGAACAAGAAGTCAGTCTAAAGAAGCAGTTGGGAAACTCCTCCGGGGAAAGACTGAGTAGGAAGGTACAAGATTTTGGTCAAGTGACAGTTGAGGAGAAGCTTGCCCCCCTGGGAGAAAGAAGTGAGAAATACAGCTTCACTGTGAGTTCCAACCTTCTTTCACATCAGAGATTTCCAGTGGGAGACAGACCACATAAGTGTGATGAATGTAGCAAGAGCTTTAATCGAACTTCAGACCTTATCCAGCACCAGAGAATCCACACTGGGGAGAAGCCCTACGAATGTAGTGAGTGTGGGAAGGCCTTCAGCCAGAGCTCACACCTTATTCAGCATCAGCGGATCCACACTGGAGAGAAGCCCTACGAATGTAGCGACTGCAGGAAGACCTTCAGTTGTAGCTCTGCCCTCATTCTGCACCGGAGGATCCACACGGGGGAGAAGCCCTATGAATGTAGTGAGTGTGGGAAGACCTTCAGCTGGAGCTCCACCCTTACTCATCATCAGAGAATCCACACTGGGGAGAAGCCGTATGCTTGTAATGAGTGTGGCAAGGCCTTCAGCAGGAGCTCCACCCTTATTCACCACCAGAGAATTCACACTGGGGAGAAGCCCTATGAATGTAATGAGTGTGGGAAGGCCTTCAGCCAGAGCTCACACCTCTATCAGCACCAGAGAATCCACACTGGAGAGAAGCCCTATGAATGTATGGAATGTGGTGGAAAGTTTACCTATAGTTCAGGCCTTATTCAGCATCAAAGAATCCACACTGGGGAGAATCCCTATGAATGTAGTGAGTGTGGGAAAGCCTTTAGGTACAGCTCAGCTCTTGTGCGCCATCAGAGAATTCACACTGGAGAGAAGCCTTTGAATGTAATGGGAGTGAGCAAAAGTTCTCTCAGAGTTACTGCTGGAGTAAATATCAGAGAGTCTACGTGACAGCCACACACCTGTTTTCCTCACTTTCTCCAAGTCTAATGAGCTCCTGCCTTACTGTATAAGTATGAACAACTTAGGATGGGTCCCTTAAACTCAAACTGTTCACTCTAGAGAATGGGGCCAGTGGGCAAGTCATCCTGGCACAGTGGTTAGCGACCTAGTCCCCCCAGGAATGATACCAGCCATGAATGGTTAGGAGATGAGTAGTCGATTATGTGCTGGGAGGAGAGGGAGGCTCTGGGACCTTCACCTTCCATTTTGGAAGGGAGTTTGCACTAGACCATTTTTTCACACCAGAGGAGCCTTTCTTGCCATGGTGGGGACGGAAGCACAGTAGGGTAAAATTCCAAGGGTTCTTCTAGTCGGAGTCAGAATAGTCAGCACAGTATGTTCTGGGTCCTGTTAATTTGCTAGGAAGGAGAAATGGAGGCTGTATTTCAAAGCCACTGTTCCTAGTCCAGCTTCAAGTTTAGATAAAGAATGCTCTTTTGTTTCATGACTTAATTACAGAAATGCAGGGCTGAGGGATTTATTTTACTGGGAGGGGCCCTCAAGAGGTTCTCTGATCCTGTCATTTGGGGCTTGGAACAGTGAGAGCCATTGGAGATCCCCTTGCCCTTCCCTGTTAGGGGAAATTGGGAACACCATCTAATCAGCGGGTCTGACAGGAGGGAGAGGGCCAAGGCCATTTAGTGTTGGCCTGTTTCCTTTGTCCCATCTTCTTGCCAATCCTGTAATGAAAAGTGATTTAATCCAAAACCCTAGTTACTTAAGATGCTTTTAAGGAGCTCAGCCAGCCAGCTGCCCTGCTCTGTCCCCTTGACCTATGACACCTGGCCCCAGCAGCTGGACCTCTCCTGACCCCACCTCTGACTTGAGCAGCTGAGTGTGGATGCAGACAGCACAGCCCTGAGGCAGGCTCTGGCCTGAGCCTGGCCACAGGGCTCCCTGCCAGGTGAGGGGTTCCCCAGGCTTCCCAGCTGAAGGGGCCTCATCTTTTCCCAGGCCCGCTCATTCTGTAGCGCAAAGTGCACTATTAAACAGAATAGTTTTTCAGAAGGGGAGATGGAGTGTGTTTTTGTGCTGAAGCAGATTTATTTTCAATTTAAACAGCAAACAGTGACTATAAATGGAATCTTTCAAAATATTTATAGACACAAACGTGAACTCTTTCCCAAGGCTGTATCATATTCTGCTAGGTGTTGCCACAGACTCGTTACTCACACTGTCACTCCCACCTTCACACCCACATGTAGGATATGTGCTGCATCCCATTCTGTGTGGCAAATACTTGGGGTCAGCAACCTAGAGAGGTGTTCTGGGTGTGGCGTCCCTGACAGGCACACTTGAATGTTGGGTGGCCCTGGGCATACTTTGGTTTCTTGGTTTGGCTGTTGGTGGGAGGATGTCCCAGTGATGGAAAAGTAGTGGAGAAGATGAGGAAATGTCTGGAACTCTGGCCTCTGAACAATTTTGGATCATATATATTGTGAATGACCACCTAATGTTTTTAATTTCTTAAAGCCATAATGAAACTCATCATTTTGACGTTGACATTCACCATATACTCGCAGATTGAGTTTGTGCCTCAGAGTGTAGACCATGAACTATGCATATTGGAATCACTAGGCTGCTTGCTAGTAATGCAGATTTCTGAGCCCTAAACCAGACCTATAAAATAACTTGAGAATGGAGCCTAAATATTTACACTGAGAAGGAAGAACCAGTAATGGAAATGTTAAAGGAAAATTCCTAGGAGATAAACTTGAGCTAGGTCTTGCAAGGGAGATTATGTGGTAAAGGAGAGGCGGGTCCAGGCAGGAAATTTGGGGTGGACCAGAGCATGGCCACTTACACAGAGGTTCTTGTGGAACCGTGAAAAGATCTCTGTACAGGCAAAACTGCTGATGATGAATAGGCACTGCATGTGGAGGCTCCGGCCCTTCTCTGCTCAGATTCTGAACTCCCCACCCCGAAAAGACTACATGACTCAGTCCTTCAGAGCATCTCAGTGGGACCTGAGACAGATCAGAGCCATTACACTGTACTGAAAAACATACTTAAAAAAAAATTGAAACTCCTATAATGTTCATCTGATTACCGCTTTTTCCTATTTCCCATAATGCTTCCTGTTCCTTTCTCAGTCTCCAGGTACCCTTTTAATGTTCTGTCATGGTATCACTTTGTTTCTGTGCCATCATTCTTGGAACCCATTTATTCCCATGGCCTCAACTCTGAGCAAAAAAATTTTACATCTGCACATGTGGTTTCCAGCAGATGGCAGGGCATTTACAAATGGGCCTCTAAAAACTTCAAATTACACATTTCAAACTAGATATGTCTTATAAATGCCCTCAAAATGTCTATAAACCTCTCTGGGTCAAAACTTTGGGGTTTTCTTTGATTATTCTCACCCTACTTCTAACCAGCATCAAGTCTTGGGCAAGTTCAGTGAGCATGGAGTAGAAAGGGATTGTCAGAGGGGAAGGTTTCAGATCTGGGGTGATGGAGGTGGGATTTGCAAGTTATGGTAGCAATCGCAGCTGACCCATGTTGTATACTCTGGCCCCTTTCCAAGCAGTCTTCATATCTTAAATCATTGAATCCTCACACCGACCTGTATACCAGCAGGGGAGGAAATACTTGAAGTCATCCAATGAGGTGGCCATGAGCTCAGAATGGTGGGAGGTAGAAGCACATGACCTAGATGTGAGGTGGGGGACATGACAGTCCTGTAAGTCAGGATTCTACAATCTTCACAGTTCCTCCCCTTCATTTGATTGCTAATTCTACAGTATTATTCCCTTCCAGATATATAGTTTCCTAATGGATTATTGCATTTCCTCTCAAGTGAGTCCCCCCACAAAGCACTACACCCATCTTGCCACTCCTTTATCAGAAAGTTGCAGTGGCTTCTCCCTTCTTACAGAATAAAACTCAGGCTTGTTAGCTATAGAGTCAAGGCTTTCCTTGAGCTGCTCCCTACATACCTGTCCAGCTTTCTCTCTTACTGTTCCTCTTCACACGCCAAAAACAGAGCTGGATGGTAGTGGGAGGAGTAAAAGCAGGTTTACTCAGAACTGCTGCACTAGGGGAAGAGACGTCGGTATAAAAAACTGGGCTCAGTTCCAAATACAGCAGGGGCATGTGGGAATTTATAGCCAAGGAGCAGGATGGGAGTCAGTGGATGGGAAATAGCTAAGATGAAGCATTGGAGTAAGAGGTTTTTGGCTAAAATGATGACAGAATTCTTGCTGAAGACAGGCCAGGGTGATGGTGAAGGATGAGGAAGCCAGGAAGATACTGAGAGGGATGAGACTTGCCAGGGTTCTTGCTGAAATGAGATGTCACGGGGAAGTGAACAGATGACTCTAGGAGGCTCAGGGGCTTGGGTAAGGAAGGTGTGGACAAGCAAAGAATCATGACATCCAACATCAGGATGATGATAAGACCCTGTACACACCGAACATCTATGCCCTTGAGTTTGTTTACTCCCCATGTCCCCATGTCGTCCTCCAGCAACTCACAGCCAGTCAGCAAGACTTGGAGTCCAAGAAGGCTGACATCATCAGCTTTCCAGTCAGCCAAGCAGAAACCTGGACTAGTTCTGGATGCCACATTTCTCTCCATCTCACCCCTACATCCCGCTCATTGGTCAGAATATCCAGCCCATCTGTCGTGCCCTTCCTGGCTGCACCACCTATGTTGTCTTTAACCTGTCCCAGGACTTGGCACCAGCTTCCCAGCAGGGCTTTTTGCTTCCATCGTCTTCCATTCTTCATACCTAGGCATACCTAGTTCTCTAAAACGTTAATTGGATTGACACTTCAAAACCTTTCAGTGGCTCCTCCTCATCTGCCAGGTCAAAGTCCAAATTCTTCATCTTGTGGCAGGCTTTTCATTTCCTAGCCCCACCCACCTCTCAGCAACCCTGGGTACCCAAACTCCCACCTTGCTCCCTTCCCACACTTTACCCTAGGGCAATGCAGAAATGCTGTCCATGCCTCTGTGCCTTTGCACATGCTGTTCCTTCCTCATGCCCTCCCCTCCTGTCCACCTAATACACTGCTGTTCATCTTTGCAAACCTTCACCCTTTCTGGGGAGGCTTTCCGGGACATTGTGCACATCACCTCCCCCCCACCCCCCAAGCTCACCATTGCCCCTGTGCCACCTCTGCATCCTGTACGCACTTTCATTATTGCGCTTATTTATTTACCCTCTCCCCCAACCTGCTACTTATTATCTGTTCATACATCTGATGCCCTCACTCTGGTGTGTGTTCTCCTCTACATTTTCACACTTTCCTACCACAAATAAATCCTGCTTTCATAATCAGGAAAAAGGTATTAAGGGAAGGAGAAGATAATAGTAGTAAGAAGTCAGAGCCGCTGAGTACTATGATGTGTCAGGCATTGTTCTAGGTGCCTTATGTGCTCCCTCATTTTTTCATCAGGACAATTCTGTGAGGTAGTGGAAGGTGGGCGCTCACCAGATACACAGTAAATGGAGGAGTGAGATGCTAAAGCGTTTGGAGCCCAAAGCCTTCAGCAGTTCAGCGAGTATGGTAGGGGACACAGCGACCACTGAGCCGGGGTTCCTGCCCTGAACCCCTCCAAGGTACTGGACAGACTGAGAAGCCAGGTGAGCTCAACACAGTAACCCTAATGGCCACCAGGCCTTCCTGCTTACATACATGTGCCATCTGCAGTAGTCAGTGCACATTAACTTGTCTTCACAGCAGCCACACGTGCTGCTAGTCTTATCAACATTCCTATTTTACAGATGAGAAAACTGAGGCACAGGGTGGTTAAATGACTCACCCAATGCGACACAGTGGAGCAGGATTCAAACCCAGGCAGTCTGGCTCCAGGGCTTGGGCTCTCAGCTACACACTGTACTGGCTCTATGAAGAAATGGGGGATTTTCAGAGAAAGCTAGCTCGTGTTCTGCTTGGGAAGGGGCGAGGCACATGGCGGTTACAAAAGGCTTCATGGAGGAAATGACATTACAGCTAAATTGAGACCATTCACAGGTAAAATCCAGACCATTTTTTTCAGTCACAAACATGTCACCTCTTTCCCTCAAGACTCCATCATATTCCTCTAGGCTCTGCCCCAGTCCTCACTGCCACTGCCACCTTCACACCTGTGTATAGGACTTTCTGTGCCATGAACCCTTCTGTGCAGTATAATACTTAAGACTGACTGTGGGCAGGCAGGAACCCTTAAGACAAAACTATGTAGGCAGAATCATGGGACTCGCTGCCAGGGCCCCTCCCGTTCCTGTCTGGCAGGGCCGACGTTCCATGAAGAGACAGTTTACATCGTCTCTTCTGTGGGAAGAAGCTGATGCACCATCAGAATCATGAAGAGTAAATGACCCAAAAAATTTGCTCTTAATTCTACTTACGTCACCTGTCTTGTGCCCTGAAGTGAACACACACTTCCTCAGCATCACTTTCCTGCTCTGGTGACACTACAGAACCTTAGCACGACAGCTGCACATCATTCCCTGGGGTGGCCTCACAGGATTGTGCCCGGTTTTCTTCATGTCTGGAACTGCCTGTCCTGTATTTCTGTCACCTGGTCCGCGAGCCGACATTAACGGCCCGCCAGGTCTCCAGTCTCCCCAGGACCCAGCCAGCATCTTTGCTCAGAAGCAGGCTGCTTACTGTCCACTGCCCTACCTCTGCTGGCTCCGTTCCCTGTTTGCAGTGTCCTTCTGTCCCCTCCTAGGGTGCTAACATCAGGGCAAAACATTCCAAGTGGGTGTTGAGGGTGTCTAGAGAGAAATGTGCTTGCTGCGCTGCAGGAACAGCGCTAGGCCTCACACTAGGAAGGGATGCATCTGGAAGTCAGACCATCAGACACGAGACGGGGGCTCTCATACAGAATCCTGGATCCTCAATCTGGTTGAAGTTCTGATAGAAAAATTCACTACCAGCAATGGTAACTGTTGTGTGAATCTCTTCATGTCAAACCACGTCTGACCCCCGGGTTAGGCTTCTCCTACTATGAAGCGGCCTGTGGGCACACCCACAGCTTTCTCCTACTGT